CATGGCAACATAGTAGTTCCAATGATTGCCAAAATCATCCAACACCAGTATATAGTGGGCACCTACATTTTATTAAAATATAATGATTCTAAGTTTAAGCATATCCAAATAGTTCAACAAAACCAAAAACTGGATTTTTTCACATTTGTTCCGTTTCCATGGTAACGGCAGCCATTTTTTATGTTCTTAAGACCTACTGCAACCTGAAATTTTGTGTTCCATTGGCTCCAAAAAAACTGCCTGACAAAAATCATTGGAAGAATAATAATAACTAGATTTGCCATTGCAAGCAATAGTGGATGTCACCCTTCCCCCCATTGCCACTAAGTGGCAGCCATTTCAAATTTTTTAAACCGGGATGCTTATACATGCATGGCTATACATGTTTCTGTAAATTTTCAGAACATTTAGGGCATTTTTGATCATTTAAATTTTTTTGACATTTTTGCAGTATCCATGGCAATGGTGGCCATTTTGGAAATTCCAAAGTCAAAAGTCTCATCTAGACTTGCCAGTTAAGATTCATATTAAGTTTCATTAAGTTTGGAGCATTTTGTAATTTTTGGAAATTTTTGACTTTTTTGCTGGTTTCCATGGTAACGGAGACCATTCCCAAATTGAATGACAGGTGCTACATTGGTACATGGGAGGGAACATACCATTAAAAATTTCAATGGATTTGACATACCATTTTAAGAAAGTAAATGCCACTTTTAGGTTTGTTGGATCATTTTGACCTGTTTTGCATTGTTTCCATGGTAACGGCAGACACTTCTGAAATTCCAACGCCAAATTCCACATCTACCAATGTTGCTCATCATTACTGTGAAGTTTCATAAGGTTTGGATCATTTTGATATGTCTGAAATTTTTGGTGTAGTTTCCATGGCAACATAGTAGTTCCGATGATTGCCAAAATCATCCAAAACCAGTATATAGTAAACACCTACATTGTATTAAAATTTGATGATTTTAAGTCAAAGCATATCCAAATAATTCACCAAACCCTATAATTTTATTTTTTCATTTTTTTTCGGTTTCCATGGTTACGGCAGCCATTTTTTAGTTCCAAAGTTGCACTGCAACTCGAAAGTCAGGGTTCCTTGTTATAGTGCACCATCATTTGGATTGGTTCCTTTGGCTCTGAGAAATCTGGAGGACAAAATTAGGTGGAAGAAAAATAATAATAATAATAATAATAATGATAGGGAAAAAGAAACAGAGGAAAAGCAATATGTCACCCGACATTGTTGATCGGGTGACATAATAACAAAGAAACAGAGGCAAAGCAATATGTCATCCGACATTGTCGATCGGGTGACATAATAATAATAAGAAGAAGAAGAAGAAACGGGACAAAAACATAAAGTCCCCAAAACTCTGTTTTGGCGACTTAATAAGAACTGAGCAAAAACAATAAGTCTTCCCAAACTTCGTTTGGGAGACTTAATTAATGTCAACTTGAGTGGGTTTTTGTTTGTCATGTTTTCACCACTGCCTGATTCTAAGGCAGATTGGCACTTTAGAAGATTTACATCTGAATTCTGTATACAGTGCTAATGATTTACAGTCACATAATTTGGTGCAACTACAAAAATAATTATAGGGTTATCAATTTCGTTTTTGTCTCACCTTGAAGGAGTCAAAAAGCGAGACATAGGTATGCTGTTTCTGGCGGCGGCGTCAACAATGTATTAGTTTGTGATTAGGTCTAGTTTTTGGTGAACCACAAGTGGTAGGTCAATGATATTTGGTATGCAGTTGTATTAGCATTGGCATATCTCATTTCCATGAAAATTATTTGGCCCTGCCCCCTCAGTCATGGTCTATTGACTTTGAAACTTTTGCTTAGTTTTCATGTATTAGTTTGTGATTAGGTCAGTTTATGGGGAACCACTAGTGGTAGGTCAATGATATTTGGAATGCAGTTGTATAAGCATTGGCATATCTCATTTCCATGGAGATTATTTGACTCCGCCCCCTCAGTCATGGTCTACTGACTTTGAAAACTTTGCTTAGTTTACATGTATTAGTTTGTGATTAGGTCAGTTCAAGGGGAACCATTAGTGGTAGGCCAATGTTAATTGGTATTCAGTTGTATAAGCATTAGCACATCTCATTTCCATGGAGAATATTTGGCCCTCCTCAGTCATCGTCTATTGACTTTGAAACTTTTGCTTAGTTTACATGTATTAGTTTGTGATTAGATCAGTTTAAGATGAACTGCTAATGTTAAGTCAATGATATTTGGTATGCAAATTTATTGGCATTTGCAAGTATCGTTTCCATGGAGATTATATAGCCCCACCGTCTTATCATGGTTCTTTGACTTTGAAACTTTTACATAGTTTACAAGTTAATGTTTGTGTTTAGGTTTGTTTAAAGGGAACGACTTAAAATAAGTCAGTGGTATTTGGTATGCAGTTGTATTAGCATTGGCACATCTCATTTCCGTGGAGATTGTTTAGCCATGTACCTTTAGTCATTCTTCATCGACTTTGAATATTTGCATAACTTACATATTAAAGTATTGCTATTTTAATTTCTACATTTGCATTATCAAAATTACAAAAAGGCGAGACATACCTCTGTGATAACAGTTTATTTGTGTATTATCCAATCTGTTACCTAATTGGTAGTGAAAAACATCATTTTATGGCTTACTTCCACATGACATTACACTTTAATTTCAAAGTATTGTGATATTTTTACACCTAGAACACCATGTTGAATGATGTGAACCATAAAAACAAAGTCAGTAACCCTATTATCATTTAACATCACTAAAATGGAAATTTATGTATCAACAACATTTCAATTTTTAAGAAAAATCTATGCATAGTTAATAGGAGCCAAAGTTATATGCAAAATTTTACCAAAATCTGACATTTATAACAATAGCTCCTTTTATGATTAAAACTCCTTTAGAGATTTTGAATGGGTGGCACAGCACCAAAGGTGATATGATCCCAAGTTATGGACAAAAGTCCTCACTGAATGACAGAAGCTTTAACCACAGATTTTTATAATAGCATGATCAATTATACATGAAAATGAGGTCAAGGTCTTAAGATCCTACAAGACAGACTTTTTTTATCTTACAATCATTCCCTACACCAAATAAAGTTAACCTCTTACTTACAATATCTGAAAGCAGACCTATTTACAAAAACTTGCAGCAATGTTGACCAATTGATTGATTGATGGTTTCTTAATGTCCAGTGGCAAATATTTATGCATGTTCATGAAGATGTTGACCAATGAACCATGAAATGTGATCAAGGTCGAATGAACCCTACAAGGTGGACATGCATATGCATATGTTACAATCATTCAATAATTCAAATAGACACAATACTTTGCACATAGTTTCTTGAGGAACAGACCTAACCAGGAATATTTAACATGGCTCACTGATCTATGAAAATGAGGTCAAGGTCAGATGAATCCTGCCAGAGAGAATAAAATATAATTGACAGATTGTTTATAGAATATGAAAAAGGGACATTATTACGAATATTATAGTTGACCAATGCCATGAAAATGTACATGTATCACTGTTCCATAAAAATTAAGTCAATGTCAGATGAACCCTGCCAGATGGACATTTTCACCATACAATCAATCATCCATTCACCAAATAGTTAAAATTTTGCATAATAGTATCTAAAAAATAAAAGAAGAATGTGTCTGTGGACAAGAATGGCCCAACTCAAGCTTTGAAAATGGGCCTGACGGACGGAAAGACAGAAGGTCAAAGGTAACACTTAATGCATCTGAGAAACTGACATATGGAGATGTATACCTTGCAATGATTCTTTATACCATATATTGTTGTCATTATATAACTCATAATAACTGAAATAAAATGCTATGCTGAGCACAGCTGGATACGACATCAGAGGTCCAACCCTGAACAGTTGGGGCGAAAATGGACACAATACTCGCACTTGATACAGGTCTGAATTTGGATTGTAATTAAATATTTGATACATAATAGGTTTCTGACACCGAATAACTGTAGTCAAAGAACTAACTTAGAATTGGTTATATGATTTGAATTTATATTCAATTTTTTGCTTTTGTGCAATACACTATGCTGTCGCGAATTGACCCCTCCCCTCCCAAATAAAAAATAAAAAAATGTTTTCACATTTCCAATGGAGTTTGCAACCATAATTACCTATTTAAATACATCATAAAAGTCTTAAATAGATAATTTAAAAGCAGTGTAAGGGAGGTAATCCAACATTGTACAATTTTGTTTTTGGATAACCTCCCTTACACTGCTTTTAAATTATCTATTTAAGACTTTTATGCCAATATACGACAGCAAAATTTTTTTGCAGTCGTATAAAAATAGATCAAGGACTCAAAAGGCAGGGTTGCACAGAATATTTCTTAAACAATTGAGAATGCTCTATCGGTATACTGAACATTTAAATATTTGAAATATGAAATGTAAAAATTCCTCAAACAATTCCATAATAGCAGGTGCACAACTTTAACAGAAGTTCAATGTTCCTGTAAAGTTTCAGGGATCTGGGATCATCTGGGTTAAATCTGAAGGAGGAGATTACACAAATCTTGTACCTCTTTCATAAATTTTGCTGAGAAAAAAAGACTTAAATTCCCCAAAAAATCCTCATTCAACTCCATTATAGCAGTTGTGTGTATTTTGTAAGTATATTAAGAAATGGTATACATGGTATTAGACACTTAATTGTTTAAAACTGAATGTTGAATGAAGAGGAATTCTACAGTAGACAATATTACACAATTGTGTTCTAGCTCATAGCAAACTAATGTTATTATTTTGAAACTATTCCTTTTACTATTTTGAAACAATTAAAAAACCCAACTCTGGAATTGTAATTGAAGTGACAGTGAAAATTTAAATCTATGTGAATCTCATAGCAGGTAGGAATGTTGCAAAGTTATAAAAAACTTATCCAACAACAACTTGTGTTATCATCTGCAAAAAGTATTACAAGCAAAATATCCAAGATTGATAGTTTTTTTATTCAAGTCTACATTAGTATTTCTTTAAATTTATGAAAGAAAAAAAAATACAACCTAGACATATATATATATATATATATATACATAGAAGCAGTTTTATCACAGATAAAAATCATTCTTCAAACATTTTGTTGTATGTCAGTACATAAATATATCATCTTGTCACTGCAGAGACAAGACAATTTGAAGTGAATAATTCATTTAGCATGACTAGTTCAAATCGAGAAATTTCTTCTTAGAAGATGCATTTCTAAATAATTATCCAAAAAAAATACAATACAATTATTTACGATAGTTCAGAATCCACCATTTTGACCAATTCATTTGTTAAAGTATATTTTTTATTCTTCCAGTTAAAATGTGTTGGTGGATTTTGCTCATTGTTTCGAAATTCAAAATGTTTACTAAGATCAATAGCAAGACTAGATTTTACTAGACCAATACCACCAAGCTTTTCTGTAGCTGGATAATAAACACGGCCTGTATTTGGTAACATACAGATTTTTTCTGGTTCAAATTCTACAGTCATAGCAGGTCCTGCACCGCCATATGATAACTGATCATTTTCACTTTCGTCATTTGAGGGTATGATATGGGTGTATACAATCGGCTGATCGTCACATCGTACAAAGTTTCGTTCTCTTCCACAGAGTGACAGATAAGGAAAATCTTCTTTATATCTGTCTGTTGTATTCATTCTCAGTCTTTTAAAGAAAAACACTAGAAAATCTTTTTCTGCAAAGATAATTAATACAAGCTATAGACATTTCACCTTTCAAAATAATCTAAACAATTCTTAAACATTTTGATTTGACATCTTTGAAACCAACAACTTTTGTTGAACTAGTATAGCAAAAACATATTTCATACAGAATGTAACCAAAAGTTAGCTTGCAATAATACATCACATTGCACTAGAGTTAATACAGTATCAAACAAACAGAAAAAGAGACTAAACTGATGTTATTTTAGACAAAACAATATTTTCTGAATTGAATCATGCATGCAATATTTTGCAAAGAGTTTCCCCCTTATTTGGACATTTGCATATGAATATGTAAATGTGTACAACATAACCAGGGGTAATTATTCAGTTGAAGCACAATAAGTCTAAAACTTCCTCCCAGTCACCTTAATGGATTCCTTTTTTTTCTCTTCAATATTAATCTTTTCCAATGTGTCTGAATATAATGTTATTACTTTATAGTAGATGTTGGTATAAATCATAATCTGCTATATTTATCTGTTTTTCTCTCATGTGAAAAGAGGACAGTGACTTCTTACCGTGTGGATATATTTCACTACTTGTTTGATATACCCATGTCTGTTGTGATGTTTCAAATTTCAATGAAAGCGATCTAATTATAAATGGTAAATTACGAAGTCAGGGAATTCGTTAGCATAAATTACTTAAACTTTAACTAAATTATTTTATGATCTTTCATAGATACAAAGATTTGATTTTGAAATTAGCCAGTAGAATTTTTATATCATCCTAATTTTTACGGTCATGTTGTTTATAAAGCACATAAATATAAATATGATCCATTTAAACTTATTGATCCTTGGAATAAACTTATTCTCAAAGGATATAATTTTAACACCGTAGTAAGGTCTTTGAATATTGTTTTCATCAGATTTTGCTTTTGATAAATTAAATAAATAGGGAATGTGTCCATGGGACACAGATAATGCCCCTGCTTGCATATCATATAAAGTTATTAAGGGACATAACTGAAGAACAGTAAAAGTGACTCTACCCAAATTTGTACTTGATCTGAGTTTTGTGGTAATAAGTATTGTGTATAAATTTCATAACATTTGGTTGAGGCTAACTTAAGTAAGGGAACATAAACGAAATATTCAGCAACTTTTCCCTTTGTAAAGGGGCATAACTCTAGAACAGTAAAATTGACACCACCAAAATTCAAACTTGATCTGTATTTTGTAGTAATAAGCATTCTTTATAAGTTTCGTAACATTTGGTTGAGTCTAACTTAAGAAAGAGAAAGGAAACGAAAAATTCAGCAATTTTCCCATATGTGAAGGGACATAACTCTAGAACAGTCAAAGTGACACCACCATAATTCAAACTTGATCTGTATTTTGTGGTAATAAGCATTGTGTATAAGTTTCATAATATTTGGTTGAGGCAAACTAAAGTTAGAGAACGGAAATGAAAAATTCAGCAATTTTTCCATTTGTAAAGGGGCATAACTCTGGAACGGTTAAAATAACGCCACCAAGATTCAAACTTGATCTGTGTTCTGTGGTAATAAGCATTGTTTATAAGTTTCATAACATTTGGTTGAGGCAAACTAAAATTAGAGAACGGACACCAACTTTGGGACGGACGGACGGACAAGGGTAAAATTTAATGTCCCCTCCGCTACGGGGGGGACATAAAAATAACTAAATATGCATTGTTATACATTTATGTAACTTATGCACCTTCATCCTCTCATTATCATGTACTTATATTTTGGCATTGCATAAGGTCATGCTTTTGACAGACTGTGATCACTGTATATAATGTCTTTACACTTGAATGTGTAATGATTGATATTTTAGTCTGCGAGAACAGATATGTTTTATTTATTAGTTGTTACTGGCTCTTTCAGTAACTGTGAGTACCCTTTGATTGGTACTTTGTGTCTTTTGTCTTAACATTAGCTGTTTTGTGCTTCATGCCAATCAGATGAGACACCCATTTCCAACTGATTTTTACAGTTTGTTCAACACCACTGTCCCAGGTTAGGTGAATGATTATGTACTCACAAACATGTTTAACCCAGACACATTCTACATGTATATGTGCCTGTCCCAAGTCAGGAGCCTGTAATTCAATGGTTGACATTGTTTGCTGTCTGTTACATCTGTTTTTCATTTGTTCTGCCATAAATTAGGCTGTTTTTTTGTTAGAATGTTTTTCATTTTTGTCATATCAGGGCCTTTTATAGCTGGCTGTGCAGTGTGGGATTTGCTCATGATTGAAGGCCTAGGTGACCTACAGTTACTTAAATCCATGTCATTTTGACTCTGTCGGATAGTTGTCTCATTGGCAAATACCAAATTTCCTTATTTTATATCTACTAGTTAATTAACTATGTTTACTCCCGTTCGACTATTTAATACAGTACCTTTGAAGCATGATGTGAAGTTCTTCATTCTAGCATCATCAAGGAATAGCTGTAAATTGAAAGTGAATAAATTTACCAAATGAAGGTATGACAACTGACTTAAAGCATTAACAATGTATGTTTTGGAGACTTTTTCTCTTTTATTGTCATGCATAAATATATAAGATCATATTGGTTTTTTGTTAATTGTTTTGTATATAAATCAGGATATTTGTTGTTGTTTGAGTTGTATCATGTGTCATGTCATGGTTTATTATGGCTTGCTAGGCAATAAGGTGACCTATACTTCTAAACTTCTACGTCATTTGGTCTCTGATGGAAATTTGTCTCATTGGTAATCATTCCACATCTTTTTATTTTTATATATGTGCAAACTCATCATCTGATAATAAAATTATATAAAGCAGTCATGATTTTTGTCTTATCTTGTAAAGTAAGGAGTGTTATATATACAAGACAACAAACGTCGTAAAACATTACATTGGTTAATAACATTATCATCACAGAGTTGTTCAACAGTCAAGGTATTTAAAAGCACACTTAGTAAGTTCTTTTAGAAATACTTCAATAAAATTGTACAATTGCCATGCTATTGAATTGTTTCATATATTTCATGTTAGGCCTTTTATTGCAGACTATGAGGTATGGGTTTTTCTCATAACTGAAGGTCATACTGGTGCCTATAATTGCTTACATTCACTGCATTTGAACTTGGGTGGATAGTTGTCTCATTGGCAATCATACCACATCTCCTTATTTTTATATTTATCAATAAAACCAGATAACAGAATATTTTCACCTGTATGTATTTATGTAACAGCCACTATGTTCCGTCAGTTACTTTGTTCTGGCGGAACTTTTCAACTAGTTATTTCGTTCCGATGGAACTTTCCAACTAGTTGTTTTATTCCGAGTGCAGTCGAAAAGTTCCGGAAAAAAGTAGCTAGTTGAAAAGTCCCGGAACAATGTAGCTAGTTGAATAGTTCTGGCGGAACAGAACAACTAGTTACATCGTTCCGAATATACCATATTTCGTCCTTTTTGTAGAAAGAGGGGGAAGAATGAGTATCAGTATATATAAGAGCAAATCATTAATTTACAAGAATACCCAACGCACTGAAAGGGGTTTCTTTGGGGACAAATATGCAAAATTTAAGTTGTATTTCATAGCTCACATAAAACAGAATAAGTTGCATTATCATGCAATTTAGTATTCATAGTACACTCAAGAGAGGTAAGAATACCCCCCTCCTCATGTGGTTCTTTGCATCAATTCTCCAAATGGAACTTTGTGACTTGTTAATAAGTTCCGTTGGAACTTTTGGGCTAGTTTGTTAGTTCCGGTTTTGACTTATTTGCCAAAGAGGAACTTTGTGGCTAGTTGATAAGTTCCTTTTGACTTCTGTAATCATTATCTTGGTTTCCCTTTGAAAGGTTCAAATATAATATGTTGCGCTTTTACTTTGCATCAATTCTCCAAATGGAATGTTCTGCCTGGTTGATAAGTTCCATTGGAATTTTTGGGCTAGTTTGTTAGTTCCGGTTTTGACTAATTTGGCAAAAAGGAACTTTCTAACTAGTTGAAATGTTCCGTTTGAACTTTTCAACTAGTCACTTTGTTCCAGTGGAACTTTTAAACCAGAGGAAGAACAAATTAACTAGTTAATAAGTTCCTCCGGAACTTTTCGGCTAGTTAGTTCTTTCCGCCCGGAATTTCCAATGTCGGAACAAAAGAGCATTTACATTTTTTCATTTGAGTCTGCAAATCATATTCCAGATGAATCCTTTATAACACAGGTTATATTTTATATAATTTTATCATAAGGTTTTCATCAGTATTCATTAGTGGGGCAGTTGGCACGCTTTTTTTCAGCAGGATTAATCTCCTGTTAATTCATGTAAGTATTGAGGCGAGTTGGCAGGCCTGACTCCTTTTAATTAGAGGGCCTTTATTCAGTCTGATTGTACTCCTTTTCATTAGTGGGGCCAGTTGGCTCACTCAAGTGGGGTAAGTCGAAAGAAAGTGGGGGAGTTGGTAGATGTTAAAAAAGTTGGGACAATATTGTCTTGGCCAATTTGGCAACGCAAGTTGACAGGATTCCTGCATTTCCCTAACAAAAAGAGTAACATGTTACAGAATTGGTGCAAAACGACCTAGATTCTTATCGGTGCAGAAAGTTTAATGGTCCAGTTTCAGCAGCACTGAAATTTTTTATTAAATCCATTTTTTTAGAGGTTCAAGATATTTTCAAAGTTATGTTGAGGTTGTTGAAAGTAGCCTTAGTAAGGGCGAGTGTGAGGGGCGAGTTGAGCTGACTTTCTTTTCTGGCAGAAATGACCCGTACCTGACCATGATGATCTATAAAGTAAAAGTATACTTGTATCAACACATGGAACGTAAGCGGCCCGGTCAAAGGTCATAGGGGAAAAACCGCTTACATCATTGAGCACGTAATAATAAACATTGATCGCCAGAATCACTACTCGAGTTGAAAATGTCTTAAATCATGCAAATTATACCATTTTAAATAGTTATATAATCCATTAGGTTAGTAAAAATACAAAAACTTAGCCAGTGTGTATCCTTTCAGAGGTGCAAAACCATACTTTGTCGTACACAAGCCGTGACAAGGTCCTTTTAGCTGTTTAGGTCACGGTCTTCTGCATTACCTAACTGAAATATTTTAACTTTTGTGACTTATTTCCGTGTTTATAACACTAGACTCAGGAATGGTTTGCTTATGAATTATTCCATTTTATTGCATACATGTATATAGGGATCCCTATAATTGTTTAAAGGGTCCACCAGCTAGGTTACTTACTTGTAAAATGTACTGTTCCAAACAGTCAAGATCTGTCAAAATTAAACTTACAAACATGCTGATTTTTACCACCTTACAAATATACTTGATATTTCTTTTTTTTTTAAATAAAACAAGTTTCTGCTGTAACTGCAACAGGCACATGTGGGGTACACCCCCTTTTATTAAATTTCTGTGGTTTTTTTTATGAATTATTATGGCTTAAAATGTTTAATTTTTACTATGTTTATACCATGCTTATTTGTGGCTACTGTGCATGCCTCGTCTTGTTTCAAGTCAAATTACCAACTCTGATACAACCCCTTATTTTACTTTCCATACTAAACATTGCTAAATTAAAAATATTGAATATTTTAAGTAATAATAAAAATTAAACCCCCAAAACATCAAGCAGGGTCTACTTCACAAGGCTCCTGTGAATACTACAAGAGACTGTACACAAGCATATAAAACCTTGATCATGTGAACTGATATTTTTGCATGGTTATTGGTTGTTCTTTGCCAAGTTTAAAGTTTACATGATCAAAGTCTTTATTGTAACAGTGTACATGGTGTAATTGTGGGGCAACAGCAAGGTTAGTAATAAGATCAGATATTTTATTCCAATAAAAATGCCCATGAAAAGCAAAATAAATTATAACAAAGATTTTAATAACTGACACAATAATTTTAATAATCATATATAAATATGAACATGATGAATATAATCATAAGATCAAACCACACTCAAACCATGGTCAACGCCATAAGCATGTAAATAAAAAAGCAGTAACCCAACAACATGCAGAGTTGCATTTTTTCATCTTTGGTCTACACACCCACAGTGTATTTTGATTCATATTCTGGTATTTCAATTGCAGATTTCTAGTGAAATAATGGGTATAGTAATCTTTGTTGGTTATCTGTTTACAATGTTTGGTTAAATTATTGAAAATGTATAAAGTTTCAAGGAGAAGTTGTTCAGTTATATCCTGCTCTAACAGTTGGTACAAAATAGAAAAATGGATGCAAGAACAATGTGAAATACATAAATGTAACAAGGGAACTGGATCATGTGACTGTTCACCTCCATTTCAACTTATACCTTTTCCCACTGAGAGAAAAGATCCTGCTGGTCGCAAAAAATGGACAACAATTGTAAATCGAAAACATGGAAACAATAATTGGCAACCTAATTCTGAATCTCGAATTTGCTCCAAACATTTTGTAGATTGTGAACCAACTCTTAGTAACCCGTTACCAACACTTGACTTGGGTTACACACCAATACAAGTAACAAAATTTAGGCCCCCTCCACGTGAAAGACATGACAGTCCCCCTCCTAAGAAAACAAAGCGAAAACTTGAGAATGACCTTTCAGTTGAGGATTTGAACAAACACATAACTTCTGATCATGACTACATGTATATACAAGACACAGACTGTAACCGTGAAGTAATTTTATTAAGGGACCAGGTACAGAAACTGCAAAAAGAAGTCAATATGTATAAATCTGCTTACATAAGATCTGTCAATACTAAACGAAAAACAACATTTGACATAAATGTTATATTACAAAGTGACAAAAAATGCAAATTCTATACAGGCATACCAAAGGTTGAAACTTTCAATGACTTTTTCATTGAATTGGAACAAAAAGTGAGGCAAATGAGACATTGGAAAGGTCCAAAAAGGACATGCAATCCACTTAAAAACAAGAAATATACAAGATCAAATTCAAACAGAAAATTATCACTTAAATTTGAATTTGCATTGACCCTTATGAAATTAAGGTTAGGCCTGTTGTTTGAAGATCTTGCTGACCGATTTGGAATTTCTACCACCCATGCTTCAAACATATTTACAACATGGATAAAAGTTTTGTCCAGTACAATAGGATCTTTGGTGTTTAACCCATCAAAAGAGGCAGTTAAAACAAATTTACCACCTTCTTTCAAAGGAACAAAATACATTGATGTCCGTCACATCATTGACTGCACCGAAGTATTTTTAGAGAGACCCAATAATTTAGAGGTTGCAGCTCAGACATGGAGTGATTATAAACATCATAACACAGCTAAATTCTTAGTGAGCATAAATCCTTCTGGCTTAATTAATTATGTTTCAGAGGGTTTTGGTGGTAGATGCAGTGATAAATATATTACTAACAATTCTGGTTTTTTAGACATTCTTGAACCATATGACTGTGTAATGGCTGATCGTGGCTTCACCATAAGGGAAGAATTAGCTTTGGTAAGAGCACAACTGTTTATTCCACCAGGTCGTAGAGGTGTTACACAAATGTCAACAAATGAAGTCCAACAAACAAAAGAAATTGCTAATCGCAGAATTCATATTGAGCAAGCTATACGAAGAATGAAATACTTTAGAATACTGAAGTATGAAGTGCCGCTTACTCTCATGCAACATTTGGATAGTATTTTTAAAACAATTGCAGGAATATGCAACATGTACCCCCCTCTTCCAAAGTATGAGACATAATTTTGATTGTGATCCAAAAATTGTGAAAAATAATCACAATTAAGGTTTTGTTGTTAGTTTTCATTTGTTTCACATTTTTCATGTCATTGTCTTTTACCACTGACTAAAGGGTATGGGGTTTACTCATCATTGAAGGCCACACAGTTGCCTATTACTACTAATATATTCACTTCATTTGAACTCTGGTGGAACGTTGTCTCATTTGCAATCTATTGGAGCTAAACAATACCACATCTCCTTATTTTTATAAAGTATAGCATAATTTATATATGAAAATTAAATCTTTTCTACAGGTACATATTCAGGTAAAATTATTTGATAATGCATATATAGTAACTGCATTCTTCTAAAAATTAAAGTTTCAATTATTTGTACATGTACATCATGCATTCTGTATGACAAATTATATTTAATTACTTTGAGTGCATTTTTTGCAAACCCACTGCTGTAACTTTGATGCTACCTTTTTTGTTACATTTACACATCTGAAATGATACCACAAGTCACAAATATCACAGCAAATACTATGATCAATAAAATTTTCAACATTTTCAGAGTTTTTCACAATGTGATTACATGATGGACAAAAATATGTTGTTTCAAACTCCATTTGGTCCTCTATAGGACTGCTGTTGTTCCTGGTACACACCTCCTGTAGATTTGAAGCAGTTTGCATTTTAAGTTCACCAGAAAATAGTTCAGGAACAAAATATTTTTCAAAAAATAGTTTTAAACTATCAACAATTTCCTCATAATAAGGTTTGTCAAAAACAATTCTCTGACAAAATGTTCCATTACATGTATATATAAAAAAGTCACAATATTTCCTTCCAGTTATTGCTAACTGGCCTTGAATTTGGCCATAATATTTGTGTTTTTTTTTTAAACTGTACTTAGTCCCATCAACATACAAATAGTCTGGAATAGAACAACTGCAAAATGTTGTACATTTGCCACATTTTGGAACAAGAGGACATTTAATTTCAACAACACCTGAGCCACAACAAGCACAATCAACGAGTAAATCAGGGCTAGCCCCAAGATAAGTCATGTCATTATCAAGAAATATTCCACATTCTGTAATAATAACATCTGTGTGGCCTGCTTTCTTCATACCCACAAGGTAACACGATTTGGCTTCTGGTTCCATTTCTCGCCCATGCTTAAGAGACCTTATGTTAGGATTTAACTTTTTGTATCCCATGAGTCGTGAAATTAATGGATCAAAAGTAACACCCTCTTTTTTCTTATAACTCTGCACTTTTGTATGTATTTCGTAGAAATTCGATGATGTCAGACGACCCGATCTTATTTCATGCCATTTTTCATTGCTGCACTGACCAACCGTAGAACGCATTACTTTTTGAATTTCACTCTGAGTATACTTTGGCATGTTGCTTAAAAAGTCAGTTTGGTTGTTACATTTTGTTTTAATGTCTTGTATTGTGTAGGCTGTGATGTCTTCACTAACTGGTTTGGTTACTGTTTCTTCTACACTTTCTGTGACAAAACCTGAAAGAATATTTTAAACAACATATTTAAGTGCATTGATTTTGACTTGGGGAATGGCTTTTTTTGTGGGGAGGGTTTTGAAATTTCCTCATTTTTAATAAGAATTTTAGGCTGTGTCTTGAACAAATTGTTTTCAAAGACATATCCTTTTTAGAGTTTTTGTAGAGATTGGAACCAATAATAACAAAAAAAGCCCCAAACTAAACAAATCATAACATCTGAGATTAGAACTAAAGGTATATTCATCATTTTAGATTTTCAAGAAAAACAATGAAAAAAGTTTTAAAACTAGTTAATATGTTGTGACTTGATTTTCAACTGTTCTTGTTAAAAAAAAAATATTTGTAGTCCAAGTTATTCATCTCAAATGACTTATTCTTGTAAATTTAGATTTATCACGAGATCAAATTTTATCATGTTATTATAAACTGCATTCATACGACATAAACAAACAAATAAAAAAACTAGCAAAAAAGCTCTATGAGAAAATTAAAACAATAAAACAATATAAACTTAAAACAATTGAGGTTCTTCAAGTTTATTTTATTATTATAACATTGTATTTATATGTACCTTTGAAAATACAAGCATTTGGGATAGACTTCTTGAGTACTGCTGAAAAAGTGTCCAGGTTGTCTCTACTTTCAGGTATGGGCTGGTACTGCAACTTGGACTGGCAAACTAAAGGTCTTTTACTATCTAAAATAAAACCGAAAGAATTAATGACTTATCCCCCTTTGATCAATGAACATGAATATAGACTACTCTTGTGATCATATTTTGTTGTTGTTTCACATACTGGAATAATGTATAAAAAGAATATCTAGTGTATCAAAACACAAACTCGTGACATATATTTCCTACTTGTTGACGTTATCATTAATGTGATAGACTTATTAATTTACATGTTAATTTCTGTGTCATTTGGTCTCTTGTGGAGAGTTGTCTGATTGACAATCTTACCACATCTTATTTTTATAATATATCTCATTATTTGCTTTGTTAGTTCGAGTCTAGTTTCCATGGTAAAATCCATGACAAGGATTGGTACAGCAGTATGGAAATAAAAACATATATAGTGTGGCTAATAAAATATCAAAAATAATAAATGGTATGTATGTCAGTGGCGGATCCAAGGGGGGGGGGGGGGGAAACCCCCTTTTTTTGAACAACCAATGCATTTGAATGGGGACATATAGTTGGAACCCCCCCCTTTATCCTGGGATAGGTACACCCCCCCCCCCCCCCCCCCCCCCCTTTTCCCCTCCCCTTTTATAAATGGCTGGATCCGCCCCTGTATGTAATGACTTTTTGATACTAAATTCTATTTAAAATCATCTAAAATGTACACAACCTTTGAAATAATTGATCAGATGTACATGAATAGTAGTTATTACAAAAATTGTAGCCAAATTATATAGAATTTTTCTCGTGCTTGGTAATAAAAAAACATACCTGACTGTCCATGTCTTGACTTGAAGATTCTCAAATCTTTAATTTTAGTTGGCTTCACTCCCTTTATTCTTGACGGTACTTTCCATGTGCAGGGGAGGGAAGTACATGCAGATGCACCTAGTTTGTTTGCAGCCTCAACTCGGAAAAGGAGTCCAGCGACATGATTACATGTTCTTCCCAAACTGAAAAAAAATACAACTAATAAATGATCTTGTTCAATACCCAGTAAATCTACAGCAAATGATGCAAGTCGATCAGCAAAAAAACTTATATTGACAAAACAGTTATTAGTTTTAAATTAATAAAGAACTGCAAGATAAATGTGCAAACATAGAAATAAACATGTCAACAAACAGTTAGCATGGTTAGTTTTATACCATGTAGGTTTTTACAGCCGTGACAATGGATATGATTAGCAAGGAACATTTTACAAGAAAGATAAAAAATGATATACCATTCCATGAACATGTGAATTTGAGGTTTTCTAATTAAACATTTCCCATAACAAACATGACAAAGGTTGGGGACAATCTCCCAAATGGGATATAAATTTACTGTACTTCAAATCTTGCTTTTCTTTAAAAAAAAAATTAATTTAACAATCATTTTTTTAAAACATTTCCCCTAATTTGTTTTGGCACATTAATTTTTCATACATTTATGTTTCAATTGAGGTATTATATCTCGAATGGGATAGTTTAACCCATTTTGGAGATTGGTCCCAACCTTTTACAGCTTATTAATTGCTATTACATTAAAATGGAAGGCTTTACAGTACATTGCAAATCTATGAGGTTATGGATGGGGATCTTTCATTTCTGTATTCTTAATTTTACATTTGTCTTCATCTTTAAAAGAATGGCTATTCTGTAATTACATTTATTACTTGATGACTGTATTTTGGACTTGTTTTTTTCTATAATTATTATATGTTTGCCCATTTCTTTTATTTTTGTAGTTATTTTTTATATATTTAACATCCCATTATTCTGAGATTTTTCTGCTCTTAATTACTTTGCACATTTTTCACTATTCTTATTTTTTCTCCATTATTATGTATTATGTTAAACCCATCCACACCCTCATCTATGCATATAATTCAAGGAACTTTACTATACATTTTATATTAAATAACATGAAGTCTTACCCTGCTGTGCATGTGCAGTATGAGGATCCAATTTCTCCTGTTGCTTTCTCAACACACACCCAGACATCATGTTCTTCTTCTTTTATTTTTTGTGAAGGCACACATTTTGCTCTTAGAAAACAGTTCTTGGATCTTGCATCAATGTCATGATAGAATATTTGTTGCAAGAATCCATTTTTAAAATATTCATAAGCCTTGCCAATTTTATAGTCTTGGAGAATCTCCTTCATTTTACCAGATGTATTTTTTTCGCTTAAGTACTTTACAATGTCAGATATGTAGACTGGTGGAAATTTTTTCATACCATTTTTCTCATCTAACCAGTTATTATGAATCTGTAGTGGATCTGGTAAAGCTTGGCCGTTTATTTTTAGCAAGTTCTGATAGTCTAGTTTATTGGTTTTGATAATTTCAAAAGAAGTTGGAATGACTGCAATTTTTAAAACAGACGCCGAATAGCAAAGAGCCGCCAATTCACTTTTTGTACCATCTTTCGTCATACCTCTCTTTGTCAAGAAGTCGCGCAAAGCACTTACTTTCCAGGTTAAAAAATCATCTAAAGAAGTGTTTTGGTCAGTAGTATCCATTATAAAAGGTAATATCGTATCAAATGTCAAATATATAAAAGGTAAAGTATATAAAAATCGTGTAAAAATGTATCAAATTAAGTTCAGAACTTCACATCTTTCTTTCAACGTTATCACGGCGGCCATATTGTTTACAATGGATACGGAAGTTTTCCCCTATGACCTTTTGACCCGCACCGCCATATTGAAAATGACGTTAAGTGTTGATACAAGTATTCTCGAATCTTTGGTTCAGGTGATTGACCCTGGATATAACTTATACATCTTTTTGACGTTAAACGTGAAATATTTCGAAAGATCATTCTGTGTTTACATCGGAAGCTCTTACTTTTACTACACATGCGTAAAAGCCTTATCTTAATTTGTTACGTGTTTGTCAATTCGCTGATTTTTGGTTTCCTGTTTGTTCGAAGGCCAATTGAAAATCTGTTGTTATTATCGTTCAATAACGATTGCCATATTTCCGAATACAGTCATGGATTTCTTCTTTTTAAAACGTTTTGTTGGCACATTTCAGATTTAAAATTAGATAATCGAATCAACAACATAAATAAGAAACAAAATGTCCCACACTAAAAGAGCATGGAAGCTGCGTAAGTTTAATGTAAAACTGTTTTTAGGAAGACATTTATGTTGCTACCACATGACCATCGTTTATTTTCAGCATTTCCACTTCAGCTCATTGTACATTTTCAGAGCAGATCAGTGCTCGGCATATTTATTAAACCCTGCTGACCCAAAGCAAAAGTATAAACGTCCAGAGAATTGAAATGAAATTATGTATTGATATACCAAAATGAATGATCTTTTAGACCAAATTTCTTCTGTTCTGTATCCAGTTATTTAGGAATGTGTGGGTATTCAAAATCACTGAAATTGAATTGATCCTATTTTTAATCATTGGGAATGGGATGTGAAATTTTCTAAAACTCCTGTAGTTGGTGATCGCAATACTGGTATATAAAAATTTTGTACCAGTATTGTAACTTTTTAGAAAAAAAAAACAGCAATACTGGTACATTACTGATAATCCAGTATTGTAGTTGTATTGTTGACTATACTTTAAGGTGTATAATAAAAAAATGAATTTTAAGCAAAATTAGATATTGAAGATCAAAGGGGGATTAAATGAACTCAAAAAGATTTAAGAGGAATATTACTATGAGACTTGGAAGGAGAACGCTAGAGCTGAAAGAAAAGATAGAAGAAAATAAAGAGTTTTTTGAAATTCTGGGACAGTACTGCTCCCTTAAGAACAAAAAAAAACAGATGATTTTAAACTTTCTTTGATGACAATCGTAGTGTACCATTATTTAAACATACAATCTATATGTCCAATCATTCCTTATAAAATTGTCAATATTATGTTAATTTCATGATGCATATATACATGTATGTGACACCTTTAATAAATTTAAAGATTAATTACCTATATGTATTGTTTATTTAAAAAAAACACAATACTGGTACTATACTGGAATACAATACTGGTACAAAATTTTTATACCAGTATTGTGCACAATACTGGTATACCAGTATTGCGATCACCAACTACAGGAGATCCATTTTCTATCATCAATCCATTTATTGCATAATTTTTGTTTAATTGATTTATACATCGGAGAGACTTCCTTTTAAAAGTTTAAAAAGAAGCTAGTCAACTCATACAATAGGCCCCATTGCGGTTAGTGCAGCCATGTTGATTAGGGGGCAGATTTTTATAACGGAGGTAAAAATGGTTTGAAAAATACAGGAAATCATCAAGGATTTCAAATGTTTGGCATTGAGAGTTCCTGATGAAGGTAAATCAAGAAAAGCGCTTCGGACACATGAAATTATTAAACGTGTTGTTTTCAATTTTTTACATCACTGGGTCGATACCTCTGCTGGTGGACTATCAGTCCCTGAGGGTATCAAACTGGTACCATTGTGAACTTGTACTACTGTAAAATCGTAGCATTAATATTATTCAAATCATGTATGATGTATTTAACTGAGATGTCTTCTAAAAGTATATAATTACATATATTTTAACACATAATAAAAGGAACTGATTTAAAAGTTACAATGTCTTTGTCTTTTTATTGGCCACGAAAAATATGTTTAAAATGAAAAAAGACCTTATAAATAGCAGAAAATTTCGTTTGACCATGGTAACAGGAGAGACAAAATATAGCAACACCTTTCAAAAAATGTTTCGTTATATATTAATTTATGACATCGATTGCACTTTTTTATATGTTGTTACAAAAGTATTGTTTGCTTTGATTTACTTACAAATTGCTGAGGGTGGTTCAAACTGGTAACTTATATTCAATTTTGCAATTTCAAAATTCAACATTTTTTCAAAATGGCACATAAATTCAACATTTAACACCATTTGAGTGAATTTGAATAAGTTGGTACAAGTTTCCATTTGGTATGAATTTACTGTAGTACAAGTTTCCATTTTTTATTTTTATTTAATTTTTTGCTCAGCCTCTATCATGTCTATAGAGAATGTTGTTGTTAACCTCACAGTAAATTCTTGTTTTACATTCTATATCGTGGTATATTAAAGCTATTTGAAACTAAAGGAATGATATCATAATTGAGCAATGTTGAAACACTTAAGAGATTATCAGACAATTTGTAAATAAAGGCAACAGTAGTATATTGCTGTTCAATAGTCATAAGTCGAATAAGTGAAAACAAATCTGGGTTACAAACCAAAACCGAGGGAAACACATCAGCTATAAGAGGAAAACAACGGAACAATAGAAACACTGAACTGCTACAAAAACAAACGCCAACATACATAGAAACGGATTATGTGATAACAACTGCCATATTCCTGTAAAAGCATTATTGAAAATTGTCAATAGAAACCAAAGCAACACTTTTTATGCCCCTGCCGTAGCGGAGGGGGCATTAAGTTTTACCCTTGTCCGTCTGTACGTACGTACATCCCAAAATTGGTTTCCGTTCTCTAACTTTAGATTGCCTCAACCGAATGTTATGAAACTTATACACAATGTTTATTACCATAAAAAACAGATCAAGTTTGAATTTTGGTGGCGTCACTTTTACTGTTCTAGAGTTGTGCCCCTTTACAAATGGAAAATTGCTGTATTTATCGTTTCCGTTCTCTAACTTAAGTTTGCCTCAACCAAATGTTATGAAACTTATACACAATGCTTATTACCACAAAACACAGATCAAGTTTGAATTTTGGTGGCGTCACTTTTACTGTTCTAGAGTTGTGCCCCTTTACAAATGGAAAATTGCTGTATTTATCGTTTCCGTTCTCTAACTTAAGTTTGCCTCAACCAAATGTTATGAAACTTATACACAATGCTTATTACCACAAAACACAGATCAAGTTTGAATTTTGGTGGCGTCACTTTTACCGTTCTAGAGCTATGTCCCTTTACAAAAGGTAAAAATGCTGAATTTTGTCGTTTCCAATCTCTTACTTAAGTTTGCCTCAACCAAATGTTATGAAACTTATACACAATGCTTATTACCACAAAACACAGATCAAGTTTTGAATTTTGGTGGCGTCACTTCTATTGTTCTATAGTTATGCCCCTTTACAAATGGAAAAAATGCTGAATTTTTCGTTTCCAATCTCTAACTTAAGTTTGCCTCAACTAAATGATATTAAACTTATACACAATGCTTATTACCACAAAACACAGATCAAGTTTGAATTTTGGTGGCGTCATTTTAACCATTCTAGAGTTATGCCCCTTTAGTAATGGAAAAAATTGCAAAATTTTTATTTTGTTCTAAATATCAAGTAATTTTATCGTATATTGGTATGACATTGGCGTCGTCGTCGTCCAAAGACACAATGGTTTTCGCACTCTAACTTTAGTTTAAGTTAATGGATCTCTATGAAATTTTACCATAAGGTTCAACACCACAAAAGGAAGGTTGGGATTGATTTTGGGGAATATGGTACCAACAGTTAAGGATTAAGGGGCCAAAAATAAGCATTTTTGTAACTTATGTGTTAGTGTATGGATCTCTCTGACATTGTACCACAAGGTTCCATATCACACAGGGAATGCTTGGATTGATTTTGGGGGTAATTGCCTCAAAATATTAGGAATTAGGGGCCAAAAAGGGGCAAAAAACAAGCATTTTTCTAGTTTCAGGACAATAACTTGTGTGTAAGTGTATGGATCTTTCTGAAATTGTACTACAAGGTTCCATATACCAAAGGGAAAGCAGGAATTGAGTTTGGGGGTAATTGCCCAAAACATTTAGGAATAAGGGGCCAAAAATAAGCATTTTTCTAGTTTCCATACAATAACTTGTGTTCAAGTGTATGGATCTCTCTGAAATTGTACTGCAAGGTACCATACCACAAAGGGGATTGATTTTGGGGGTTATTGCTTCAAACTTTTAGGAATTAGGGGCAAAAAACAAGCATTTTTCTAGTTTGAGGACAATAACTTGTGTGTAAGTGTATGGATCTTTAAGAAATTGTACTACAAGGTTCCATATCACAAAGGGAAAGCTGGGTTTGAGTTTGGGGGTAATTGCCCTAAACATTCAGAATTTGGGGCCAAAAAACAAGCATTTTTCTAGTTTCTAGACCATTGTGTTTAAGTGTATGGATCTCTCTGAAATTGTACTACAGGTACCATACCACAAAGGGAAGGCTGGGATTGAGTTTGGGGGTGATGAATCATAAGGGGGTTCAAAAAATTTGGGATGGGGATTTTTTTTCTTTAAAATTTTCCATTTTAAATTGGTTATTTCTGATTTATATATAAAAGCAAATAATAATGATTTGGTTTGAATAGGTAAATTAAAAAATTTTAAGTTCTTAGACCACATTCATTCTGTGTCAGAAACCTGTGCTGTGTCAAATATTTAATCACAATCCAAATTCAGTGCTGTATCAAGCTTGAATGTTGTGTCCATACTTGCCCCAACTGTTCAGGGTTCAACTTCTGCGGTCGTATCAAGCTGCGCCCAGCGGAGCATTTTATTAAAATTGGAGTTATTTTCCTTTGTTCATGATTATAGTTGAATCAACTACAATCAATGCTTTATACAATGCAATGTTTAATTTTGACTTCCACTGATAAAACACAGATCAAGTTGAATTTGGGTAGTGTCACTTTAATCATTATTGAGTTTTGCCCCTTTATAAATCGAAAGATTGCAAAGATTTTAGTTTCCATTCTATAACTTAAGTTTGCCCCAACCAAATATTATGAAACCTATACACAATATTCATTACCACAAAACTAAGATCAAGTACAAATTTTTTGTTTCCGTTTTCTAACTTTAGTTTGCCTCAACCAAATGTTATGAAACTTATACACAATGCTTATTACTACATAATACAGATTAAGTACGAAATTTGATGGCAAGACTTTTACCATTCTTGAGTTATGTCCCTTTATAAACATAAAAATTGCTGAATTTTATGTTCCATTCGCTAACCTTAGTTTGTCTCAACCAAATGTTATAAAACTTGTACACAACCGTCCTAGAGTTATGCGTGTTTACAAATAGAAAAATTGCTGAATTTTTATACGCCCGTTTACGGGACGTATTATGGTATACCGTTGTCCGTCTGTCCGTCCGTCCGTCTGTCCGTCCGTCGTCAACATGTCGGACATTAACTCAAAAACGCTTTAACCAATTTGCATAAAACTTTGGTGAATTGTTTGTATCTATTGACGTGAGCTCCCTTTCGTTTTTTATAAATTTTAGATTTTACGTTTCCGAGTTATGGGGTTTTATTCATTAAAAAAAGGGGGATTTTCCAGTTTTCGGACAATAACTCAAGAATGCTTTCACCAACTTGCAAGAAATTGTGGTGAATTGTTTATATCTATTGACATGAGCTCCCTTTCAATTTTTATGTATTTTAGATTTTACGTTTTCGAGTTACAGGGTTTTATTCATAAAAAAAGGGGGACTTTCCAGTTTTCCGACACAAAATCATAAATGCTTTCAGCAGTTAGTATGAAACTTTGGTGAATTGTTTATATCTATTGATGTAAGCTCCGTTTAGAATTTTATAAATTTTACATTTTACATTTCTGAGTTATGGGGTTTTATTCATTAAAAAAGGGGGGATTTTTCAGTTTTCAGACAATAACTCAAAAATGCTTTCAGCAATTCTCATGAAACTTTGGTGAATTGTTTATATCTATTGATGTAAGCTCCCTTTACATTTTCATAAATTTCTAATATGACATTGAGAATTAATTGAACTTGTTTGTTTATAGTCTGACAACAGATTTACTAAGTATTGCACAACAGCACAGTGTATTGCACAACAGCAAGAAATCTTTAATTGAATATAAATTCAATTCATATAACCAATTTCAAGTTCTTTGACTACATTTATTCAGAAACCTATAATATGTCAAATATTTAATACAATCCAAATTCAGACCTTTATCAAGCTTGAATATTGTGTCCATTTTTGCCCCAACTGTTCAGGGTTGGACCTCTGCGGGCGTATCCAGCTGCGCTCAGCGAAGCAGTTTATTAGTTTCTGTTCTCTACTTTAGTTAGCCTCAACCAAATGTTATGAGACTTACACACAATGCTTATTACCACAAAACTCAGATCAAGTTCAAATTTGGGTAGCGTCACTTTTACCGTTCTTCAGTTATGTCCCTTTATAACTATATGATATGCAAGCGGGGGCATCATCTGTGTCCACATGTGGACACTATCCACATTTATTTTCATCTGCAAATGCCCCTTCGAATTAGAAATTATATCGAAAATAACATTGTGAGTAATCTTATGCCTACATTTCTTGTTGGGTATTTTAAAAGTTTAAAAGAACCCCAACAAATTATTTTGAGTTATTACCCTTGGACAGATCAAATATGTACATCTGCATTGGCATTGGATTGCTGTTCTTTACATGTATTTATTAGTGAGGTGTAAAGACGGTAAACTAAAGACCAAATTAATAAAGACCAAATTAATAAGATACATGAACCCTGTTATACATGTTATATAGCTAAGATTAACATACATCTGTTTATCTGAAAAATGTATAGGGAACTATCACCAGACATGGGTCTTTCTTTTGAAATTAATTTAATTTAATGGTTTGCAATTGAATCTTTATGTTTTCTGTAATTATTCAAAAGTTTATTAGTAAATGAATCTATTTAGCTGTTGTTAATTTTGTATAATTGTGCACTGTTTGTCAGCTAAAATACTCAGAATGTTTTCAAGCTAGAAAGTTTTTATTTTGATGAATTATTTTTATTAAAAAGACAAAAGTTTGAACTTAGTCTATTTTGGCTTAACTTTTCAAATAAGGTGCATATGTTATCCACTAAACTCCTACTGTTTCCAAGCTTGAATTATTTTATTTTTAGGATATTCCAATAGATATAATGTGTGTCCATATTGTGAGGATCATATATTCATAACAAATTATGGAGATATATGTACCTGTACCTTTTCTAGAATCAACTGTTTTTGCCTATGTGTATTATACAACTTATTATACCAGAGCATCATACATGTACATGTATGTTTCTTAAAGACCCCAAATACTTGTAGGGCAAATGTTATTGTTCATTCATGAAATTTATTTTGCCAATCTTCAGTGGATTTGGTGAGACATACTTTTGTTCTAAGTTATAACTTTATTTTCAAAGCTGTTTTGGTTTTATGTTCATGTTTTCAATTTAAATGTCTTGTTCTAACCTTTTATTTGACACAAGTTTAATGTTATAATTACATTTAAAACGATAAAATTAATTTAACGTAAATTTGCTAGAAATTTTTGTTACAGCCCTTGAGTTAAATATATATTTAATGAAGCAGAAAATTTGTAACCTTTGTCACATTGATGACAACAAAAGTGTAGTATACAAAAGATTACAATCAATGGAGTTAACTGTATACTATTAGTACAATATAGTTTGATTTAATACAGAAAAAAATTCCTCATACTTTACATTCTATAAAAATATTTGCTGACTCTAATAAAGGAAATGAAACCAGATGTTATTTTTTCCTTTCATTTTAGTTGATTATTTTTGACATCATACCTGTGAAACTGTATAAAAGTTACATAAAGTTATAAACAAGGATAGAAATTAGAGATCTACTGGGCAGTTGCAAGCAGGTTATTTTAGATGACAAACAAGATGTTTAACAAAAGTTTTACTTGCCCCCTAGGCCAGCTAGAATCATTCCTAAAATATTGTGGCTAGTGAGGCCGCTTTTTCAGAAAATTATACTAGACCAACAACATTTTCATTGGCCTGGGTTGTAGAGGACTTGTGGTTAATTGTGTAGTCTGTAAACTGTTTAAAGGGCAGGGCAATTTAAGAAGATTGTTCCCTTGACCAGTTGAACACAGCATCTTTATATCTTCTGTATTCAGAATACACAAATGATCAGACAGATGAACCTGGTATTTCATTTTAACAAAAAAAAAATACCACTGTTCCAAATTTTGATGTTATCTCATGCTCAAGTTGAAACAGTTCCCTGAAAATCAGAAAATAAAAATGTCATAGAGCAGAAATGCTTTTAAAAATGTTGTCAGTGTATGAAAACATACTAAATTAATAGAGGCCAGGATGCAAAGTAATTATGCTTTTTACATTCATGTATGGGTATCAAGTACATGTATGATAATAACTATGAATTTGCAGTAAACTTTCATTATGCACAACTCTATAAATGGTACTCTATAAATAACCATTTATATAATTTTGTTTGTAGAAGAGTTTGTGGCTCACAGTGCCAATGTCAATTGCCTAGCATTAGGACAGAAATCTGGACGAGTTTTAGTGACTGGTGGGGAGGATCGTAAAGTAAACCTATGGGCAGTCGGAAAACCAAATTGCATTATGGTAATGTTGTGAATTGTACTCAGAAACCTCTTCCAAGTACATTAAAATATTTAATGTCAGAATTAAGGGTTTCTCTTTCAAAAATTTGAATTTTGGTAACGGCTGTAATTAAAATTTTAAATAGATGCATTAAAGTCTGTGATGTTTTTTAGTTTACCATTTATATTTTCATATTTAGAATTTAAATAATAAAAGTACTCAACTTTGTTCATACACTTTTGCACACATTCATAAACAAATGTAACATTAGCTAGACTATTCATGAAATTACAAATGTATAGCCTTCTAGCTTCAGTTCATTTATAGTCAATGCTGTTACGTGTCGGAGTATTTTCTAAATCTGCACAGAACATTTACATATTTACACTGGATTTTTTATTATCTGGGTGAACTCTGACATAGCTTAAAAAAACTGGTACATAATCATAGAAATGGCATTAAGTCTAATCTAACAAATTTCAAGTACATGTACATTATCATTGTCACTTCTTTTGTATCGTGGCATTTTGTTTTACTACTACGATTAGTTTTATTCCATTAACAATTGATTGTAGGTAATATATTGAATAACCATATCTATTTTACAGAGCTTGACAGGTCATACAACACCTGTGGAGAGTGTAAGATTTGGTCCTGATGAAGAAATGGTAATGGCAGGGTCCATGTCTGGTGCTCTCAAAATCTGGGATCTTGAACAAGCTAAAAGTAAATTCTAAATTTAAATAAAAGTATTGCACGGAACATATATTTAAAACTATTAAATACACACAAACAGATACATTAAGTTAGAATAGGGTGATCTTGGGATCACAGACGAACCTACTGAATCCCTGGTTTGAGATTTCTCTGATGTCTAACAGCTTTTTTTCAGGACTTGTTAGTGGCCATGGGAAGTCAGAGCACAGTCAATATAGACCCGAATTTGTTAATATATGAGGTCACTGATATCATATGCATCAACAAACTCTTCAAATTCCATGCACACGAAATAAACACCATGAACACAGTCATGTGACAAATTGATTATAAAGTGGAAGTACAAAATAAAAAATGTTTAAGGTTGAAAGGAATAAAGATTTTGTTTGTGCTATGAATAAAACTTATATATTCATATATATATATATGGAGCAAAATGGATAAGGAATCAAATGATGTTTGATTTACCTGCTTTAACATGTATCTTTTACTATTTCAAGATAAAAACTTGGAAACTTCCATGTTTTCAAAATGGACTGTGCTCTGACTTCCCACAGCCCCCAACAAGTCATAAAAAATGCTGTCAGATGTTGGAGCAATCTCTCTAGGGACAACTTATTCCCTTACAATCACAATTTTGAAGAGGATCTAAGGGTGATAACTCTTAAACTGTATTTTTATTATCTCCACTTGTATTTTATAGTATTTGAATAGCATTCTGTAAAAAAATATTTGATTAAGAAATGATTCAATCAGAGTTCGCGAAAATGGTCGGTCCTGTCGGTCCTATCGGTCAAAATGAGGCTCGGACCAGTATTTTGAAGGCTAGTGCCAGTCCCGATGACCAATGTAAAAATGGCCGTTGTAGTGCATATTTCGGCACTTGTTTACATCGGTTATTAGATGTACCGCAACTGTTTCCAATAAGTGTTTACATCGGTTATCAGATGTACTCACTGCCAATTTCCGGTACTGGTTTATGGATTTATTATAAACAAACCAAAGCGGCGATTTACACGTGGCCTACTAAATTTGTTCATAGAGCCATCCCTGGCAAACAATCGGCGATTGAACCCTTCAATGGAGCAAACAAATACTGTAACAGCCGAGAAAGCGATTCAGATGATGAAATGGATAGTGAAGATGACTTTAAATAAGAACAATCAGAAGACCTGAACTGGTCCTTCATTGTTAATTTGCCTGTGGGTGCGAAGAATCAAACTAATATTAATAAAGTTATTTTTCTATAAAATATGTTATTAATTTTATTTCAGGATAAAATTGACAGATTTTGTAGGACTGGCTAAAATTTTGTAGGACTGACAAATAATCATGCTTTGTCGGTCACATGACCGACGGGTCGAAATAAGTTTTTGCGAACTCTGATTCAATTATAATCTGAAAAAGTGACCTGTGGCTGACAACAGACAAATCAAGTGATGAATGAACATTGAGATTACTAATATCCCTTCCTTTGTGGTGGTTATATATAAAAAAAATGATAAAGTACATTATAAACATATGGTATATATTTAAGATTGTTAAAATATCCACATTAGTTGTCAAGTACAAGCACAAGAAGAATATTTAAATCTCATATCGAATTGTATTAATAACAAGAAAGCAAGAAATCGTCATTTAAATACACTACAAATATTTGTGTTTACAGTCATAAGGACATTAACAGGTCACAAGTCGAGTATTCGTAGTTTAGATTTCCATCCCTATGGTGATTATGCAGCCTCTGGGTCATTAGACTACAATATAAAGGTAAATATTGAAATGTATTAGGTAATAAAACCTCATATTTAATGAAATGTCATATGAACAATTGGTTTTCATCCATTTATGTCTCTGTTTGCTTTACAAAATATCAAAATAAACGACATTAAAGACAACAACACCCATCAATTACCGCATGGTGATTAATTTATTATGGTCAACATGTTTCGCCAACAATCGTGGCGTCTTCAGGACAATTACAATATTGAAAAATTACATTGAAGTACAGATTCTGCGGTTGTGCGGTTCACAGAATTTAAAGTCATAATGAACGTAGTCTTGACGACGTTATTGTTTACAAAATGAAAGTGAAAGTAAAAACAGTATAAATAGAAATTGAAAATGTAAAATAAAAAGTTATAAATAGAATGTTAGTTTTTTCTTGTCTTGTAGCAATTAATTGTGAAATTATTGTCTATTCCATTCATTTCAATGTTCGGATATTCTCCTGGGATATGTCTATATCCTTCAAGGCCTTCATAGCTAGAATATACTGATAACTTCAAGGCTGTTTCTAAAGTGGTTACTGTATAAATAAATTCCTGTTCCGGTGGTATGGTTATTTCTTCTGGTTGTAATTCTTCTTCCTCCTCGTCACTGCTGATGTATAAATCTGCTGCAAGATCTATAGTATTATTGTCGAGATCTGATTTTGCTATAACACGGAAAGTAGGTGTTTTTTTCCAATCGATTTTCTTAGTAGCCTCCATTGGTGGTATCCACGGCTTGATTTTTTCAGCTAATTCTCGTGGTGTTTTGTCCTCTACTATAAGTCCCTTCGAATTGAATATATTGTGATCTGTTTTCATATGCCTATGTGCCGAGTCCCTCCTAATAAAGGACTTGTTGCACCAGGAACATGAAAAATTGGTTACTGTCGGTCTGTGGTATGTGTTAAAATGTCTTCTTAAACTGCTCACATTCTTGTAGTTCTTTTGGCATCGGGTACAGTTTAAGGAAAGCGGTTCTTGCGGTTTACGTGGAGTTGTTTTCGTTTTTGCCATTATCTTCTTATGTTGAGTCCCCACGGCGATTGCGTACTCAAGTAGTGAATATATGCTTCTTCTGTGCGTAGTCGTATGTTGACGTTGGCAACGGTGGTTTTGATGCCTGTTATTGTTACGTCGTTTGTATTGTGACCTTCTGCGCTAAAATGCTTCGAAACGGGTTTATGTTCGTTTTTATTTTTGATGTCATTCATGTGCCCGTAAAATCTCTCACAAATGGTGTTCCCTGTTTGACCTATTTATTGTTTGCTGCATTTTTTGCATTTGATTATATATATAACGCTGGTGGTTAAGCATGTGATCGGTTCCGTGATTTTAATTGTTTTTTCCGTTTGAGTGGCTTTTTATTTCTGTTGAATGGGTCATCTTTGTGCAGATATGGCAATTCCGGCCGCACGGCCGGTTTCCTTTTGGGTTTGGCGGTTTTATGTCTGTGTTAACTAATAATTGGCGTAGGCTGGTGGTTTTACGTGTGGTTACATCAAATTTCATACGGGACATATGGTATGTTTCAGGTGATCTTTCTAGGATGCCTTTCCGTTGGTTGATAATTTTTCTTATTGTTGGGTTCTATGGGTGGTGGGTGATAATGAATTGTACATTTCCTTCTGGTTTGGTTGTTGGTTATCTCTTCTGTGATTACGTTTATATATTTGTCTAGATCCTTAATATATAAACGTAATCACAGAAGAGATAACCAACAACCAAACCACCAATACAAACAAACCGCACAGAAACTTGCACCCAGACGAGTTTAAGGCATTAAAGGAACTCCGGAACAACCAGGATATAATAATCAAACCCGCAGACAAAGGAGGAGCCGTCGTAGTTATGAACAAAACCGACTATCTAAATGAAGTATACAGACAACTAAACGATGAAAGTATCTACAAGAAAGTAGAAGACGATCTCAACCCCCAATTTATAAAGAAATTCACGGACTTTCTCAACATAATGAAAAACAAGATGGACAAGAATTTAGAGAAATACCTCATTCCCAAACAATGGAGGACACCGATTTTTTATACACTACCGAAGATCCACAAACCGGGAAATCCGGGAAGACCAATTGTCTCCGCTGTAGACGCACCCACATCAAGAATGTCCGAAGTCACAGATGATATACTTAAACCTCTAATAAAAAACATTAATTCATACATAAGAGATACTAACGAATTCCTAATGAAAATAAAAAACATAAGCCCGGTACCTGCAAATAGCATTCTAATAACCGCAGACGTTTCGGCACTTTACACATCAATTCCACATAGAGAAGGACTACTCGCCATCAAAGAGATGCTAGACACAAGAGAGGAACAAACAATACCCACCTGGATGGTCTTAAGATGGATACATTTTATACTGACCTGCAACTGCTTCCGATTTGAGAACAATTACTATTTACAAAAACGCGGGACTAGCATGGGCACAAAAATGGCACCTGAGTATGCTATAATATTTATGGACAAATTAGAACGAAATTTTCTCAACACACAACCACACAAACCACTTGTGTGGTATCGATATATCCACGACATCTTTATGATTTGGCCCCACAATCGCGAGGCATTGGATGCCTTCATGTCGGACTTCAACGATTTTCACCACTCGATTAAATTTACTTTCTAAATAAGCGAAACATCGATACCGTTCTTAGACACAAGAGTTATAATAGACAAAGAAGGAAATCTTACAACCACATTGTACAAAAAACCAACCGATGCAAATCTGTACCTACGATACAAGTCATGTCATCCGCTACACCAAAAAAACAGTATACCCTACAGTCAAGCCATAAGGATCAGACGCATATGCAGCACAATAGATAACTACCAGTTACACACACAAAAGATGAAAGAAAACTTTATAAAAAGAGGCTACCCCCCGGAAATCATAGAAAAGGCTATCAAAAATGCAAACGATAAAGATCGGAACGAACTCTTCACACCAAGAATTGGAACCACAGAAGGAAATGTACAATTCATTATCACCCACCACCCATACAACCCAACAATAAGAAAAATTATCAACCAACGGAAAGGCATCCTAGAAAGATCACCTGAAAAATACCATATGTCCCGTATGAAATTTGATGTAACCACACGTAAAACCACCAGCCTACGCCAATTATTAGTTAACACAGACATAAAACCGCCAAACCCAAAAGGAAACCGGCCGTGCGGCCGGAATTGCCATATCTGCACAAAGATGACCCATTCAACAGAAATAAAAAGCCACTCAAACGGAAAAACAATTAAAATCACGGAACCGATCACATGCTTAACCACCAGCGTTATATATATAATCAAATGCAAAAAATGCAGCAAACAATAAATAGGTCAAACAGGGAACACCATTTGTGAGAGATTTTACGGGCACATGAATGACATCAAGAATAAAAACGAACATAAACCCGTTTCGAAGCATTTTAGCGCAGAAGGTCACAATACAAACGACGTAACAATAACAGGCATCAAAACCACCGTTGCCAACGTCAACATACGACTACGCACAGAAGAAGCATATATTCACTACTTGAGTACGCAATCGCCGTGGGGACTCAACATAAGAAGATAATGGCAAAAACGAAAACAACTCCACGTAAACCGCAAGAACCGCTTTCCTTAAACTGTACCCGATGCCAAAAGAACTACAAGAATGTGAGCAGTTTAAGAAGACATTTTAACACATACCACAGACCGACAGTAACCAATTTTTCATGTTCCTGGTGCAACAAGTCCTTTATTAGGAGGGACTCGGCACATAGGCATATGAAAACAGATCACAATATATTCAATTCGAAGGGACTTATAGTAGAGGACAAAACACCACGAGAATTAGCTGAAAAAATCAAGCCGTTGATACCACCAATGGAGGCTACTAAGAAAATCGATTGGAAAAAAACACCTACTTTCCGTGTTATAGCAAAATCAGATCTCGACAATAATACTATAGATCTTGCAGCAGATTTATACATCAGCAGTGACGAGGAGGAAGAAGAATTACAACCAGAAGAAATAACCATACCACCGGAACAGGAATTTATTTATACAGTAACCACTTTAGAAACAGCCTTGAAGTTATCAGTATATTCTAGCTATGAAGGCCTTGAAGGATATAGACATATCCCAGGAGAATATCCGAACATTGAAATGAATGGAATAGACAATAATTTCACAATTAATTGCTACAAGACAAGAAAAAACTAACATTCTATTTATAACTTTTTATTTTACATTTTCAATTTCTATTTATACTGTTTTTACTTTCACTTTCATTTTGTAAACAATAACGTCGTCAAGACTACGTTCATTATGACTTTAAATTCTGTGAACCGCACAACCGCAGAATCTGTACTTCAATGTAATTTTTCAATATTGTAATTGTCCTGAAGACGCCACGATTGTTGGCGAAACATGTTGACCATAATAAATTAATCACCATGCGGTAATTGATGGGTGGTGTTGTCTTTAATGTCGTTTATTTGCTTTTATAGTGAAAGACAACTGTGAATACCGCGTGGTATCCACCCGCTATTACCCAACCGCAGAATTACTACCTCAGGTGTTGGTTCACCACTTTTTAAATTGAAAATATCAAAATATTAGAATTGTAAATTTTCAGTTGAGATTTACCTCAAGGGAAAGCACTCAGTTACATCAATACACCTTATCACTATTTGACTGCCATGACTGGATATCACAAAGGTTCCCGTGAAATTTTGACAACACAATAGAAAATGTCTGACGCCACAAAGGAAAAGTGATTGTTGTATCACGTCAATAGTTCAAGTGTCACAGATTCCAAAATAGCATTAAGGTGTATTGTATCATTCACAGAATTCATACTGAAAAAAAATAATAGTTAATGTGAAGGCTGATTTAGAGGTTGAAGTCATTTTGGCTTCAAAATAGTTGTTTCTACTATAAACAAATGAATGCTGTTGAATTAAAAAAAACTTTCTGAAGGAAGATATGTTATTCTAATATTATAAATTCTTGATTATATTTTTTCTTCCATTTTTTGGAGGGATTCTAGTAATTAATTGCTAATCAGTTTCTTGGACAGATATGAATTAAAAAAATATATATTAAAAAATGCATGAAGTTATGGACAATATTGGCATTAATAAAAAGGGACATATTTTTATAAAAATGATATATCTATACATATACCTGACCAATATATATGCAAATTTGAAAAAAAAATGCAAATCCAATTAATAACTACGCACTTATATTGTTTCTTTGTTTTTTTTCAGTTATGGGATATAAGAAGGAAGGGTTGTATATATAATTATAAGGTATGTACAAATTGTCTAAACAATTATTATACCCCCGCTTTGAAAAAGTGGGGGTATACTGTTTTACCTCTGTCTGTCGGTCTGTCTGTCCGTCCGTCCCATGAATATTTTTTCATCGCATTTTCCTCAGGTACTACGTTACAAGGATTTCTGAAATTTGGTTTCAAGGTTTATATGAGTGAGCTATACTGTGTGATGTGTTTTCAGATTCATCACTCAACAACTTCCTGTTTACTGAACACTTAAAATATTTTTACACTATTAGAATTATCCATATTTGGGCAGGGGTATCATCAGTGAGCAGAAGCTCGCAGTTTCACTTGTATTTCTAGAATTGGTAGGTTACTAGTCCCCTGTCTTGTATGAGCTAACCAATCTTGGGTACCAGATTTTTTATAAGAACCAATGGAACTTGCATCTTGATAGGGAGCCCTTGTTAAAATCTACCAAATTGCAATGATTTAGATTTATCATAGAAAAACAGATAAAACAGAAAACAAAAAAGATATTGCAATATACTCACAAACTGTCAAATAAAATACCAACTACAACATTTTGTTTTATTATTGTTAAGGACGTTTTTGTAGTAAAAAAATTTAATAATGAAAAGCTTGTTTTCTATCAGGAGAATAATAAATTATAATATGAAGATGTGTTTAGCCATATGTAACCCTGAGCCTATTATTTATAGTATTCAGGGCTTAAAAGGAGAAAGCTGTATCCTTAAACAATTTGTACACACAGCTTTACTAAAATAAAGAATAATTTGTTTAAAAAAAAAAGAAAACCTTTAAAACATAACAACATAAAAAGTGTTAGTAAATCAAAACCTGTATTGCATAAAATTAAATTCAGGATGAGTCATCACAGGTGAGTTCCACATAAAAATGTTAATTTTAGCATGATCCAAAACACTTTTTTATGTATATACAGTTTCCTCACAAAGTAATAATTACAACTGTCTTACAATAATACAAATTAAAAAAATGTCTGCAGTGCTTTTTGTTATATTCTGACAGGATAAACATCTGTGTATTGACCAGAAAAATCCTGTAATAATATAGTATTACTAATACATTGTATTTCTGGGTAAAAATGAAGCTTAGAATACTTTCATCAATGTCATACAGCTTGGGGTTGTAACTTAAAATGCAGTAGCAATAATATCCACACCTAGCAACAAGTTTAGAATAGTTTCTGTAATTTGAATGTTATTGGTATTTATTATTTGTTTGTAATTTACACAGTGGAGTGGAGATTATCGATTGTACCTAGATTGACAATTAACACATTTTCTTAGATATTTGGCTAAGGCAGGGTTAAAGTTGGCAAAACTTGTGACAAATTATCACAATTACATGTATTTAAAAAAAATCTAAGGGTTTGCCAGCAATTTTATGGTATGGTCGTAGTAGCTATTTATGGTGTTCTTTTAAAATACAACTATTATTGTGAAAAATTAAAGGCCATTGATATTTTTTACATCTGTACATATACTGCTATATAATATACATGTTTTGCATTTTGAGTTAGAGAAGAAATGAATTTTCTTTTCTTTTTGTAATGACTTTAAAGAAATTGCCTGCATATTAACTGTTCAATATTTAATTCTTTGCATATTTGAGATTGTTTTCTCCATATTATGCATTAAGATATTTTATAGAATGGAACTGTTATTTTCAAACACTATTTTATTTGACAATATGTTTATTTCAGGGTCATACAGATTGTGTAAATTGCCTAAGATTCAGTCCAGATGGTAAATTGATAGCTTCTGGTGGAGCTGATGGTCTAGTAAAGGTTAGTAAAGATTAAATCTAGCAATCTATTGATCTTATGGTCTTTAAAGGAATGTGAGGCACAGTTATACATTTTCATTTGTCTGTTATGAATGAAACATGTTGGTATATGCAAATGAGACAGCAACCCAACATCTCTATCAAATCAAAGGACATCTAGAAGACAACATATGGTCCTTAAAGTGTCTGTAACAATATGTTAAGCTCTATCGAAGTCTAGGCAATGAAGTTGTTGACCAGTTTTACCAAAGTTCTGCCATCAACACCAAATTCATTTGATAAAAAACAAAAACAATAATATTTAAACATAGACATTTCAAACAAACAATGTGTTTCCATTTGTCTTTTTTAGTTTAGTGTGCTGTATTACAGAATTGAGATGGAAATTTTTAAGTACTTTACCTAAAAGATTAAATGAACATGATCATGAAATGAGTGTTTTTTGTTTTGTTTACATAGATCTGGGACTTAACAGCAGGGAAAGTATTAACAACACTGAATTTACACTGTGGTCCGGTAAATGTTGTAGAGTTTCATCCTAAAGAATTATTACTTGGAACAGGTAGCTCAGATAAGTAAGTATTAGTTCATATTCAATGTGAAAAAATTCTCAATAATTGAAGATGGCCACAGGTCAACTCTATGCTAATCTTTATTTTTTTAATTATTGTTATGAGACCCTTTAGAAAAACACAAGCATCTGGTTTTGATAAAGACCTGAAATTTAAACATTGAAGATATGTTTTTAAGATTTAATGATTGTATTTATACAGAAGAACAAGAGTACAAGAAGATGTATTTGTAATGCATTTTTAGTGGGCTTTTATTTTGCAGTTAATTGTTTCATTAACTGAACTTGGCCATATGTAGTCGAGCTTTTCATTGTGAAATCAGATTTGATAAACAAAAACTGTTTACTAAAGAATATTTTGATGGAAAATATTGAATATGCTGTTTAATCAATAGAATTTAAAGTGATTACACTTTATTAATTCATACTGTATGCAAATAGCTAAACAAAATTAATACTCTTTTGTAGAACAATAAAATTTTGGGATTTAGAAACATTTAGTATGGTCTCATCAACAGATGGTAACTCTACACCAATCAGGTAATTACATGTAGAAATGCATATTTATCATTTTAATGAATCTCGCATAAACAAGTATAAGTATTAGGAAGAAATTTAGCAACAGTTTAATTTTCAAATTGTTTTAAGAATATCTCGCTTCAAATTGACCATTTTAGTCCCCCTCGTAACGTGTTGCGGGGGACATGGAAATACCGGGCGTCCCTCCGTCCGTCCATCCGTCTGGTCTTGTTAGCGCTCTCACATGTACAATTCTTGCTAGATTTTTATAAAACTTATACTATAGGTTAATATCAGCAATATCTCGGACAAGTTCTATAATGGTGGCTGATCGACTTCTTTTAAAAGAGTTATGTCCCTTGGAAATATAAAATATGTGCAACATGGGGACATTGGAACTCTGTTCTTTTATTAAGATTAATTTAAGAAATAATTCATGGGGGTTTGTTTTTAAAAATAAATAAATCATAACGTTGCCAATCAGCTGATATTCAATATATTCTCATTTTACCTCAGGTGTGTACTCAAAGCATTTGAAGAAAGTCATAGTAGAATGTTATTTTTTTATGGAACAATTTATTAACAAATTATTGTATATAGCCCCCTCATCTTAATCTGTTTGTAAAGGTTTATTGCAAGTATGTCTAAGAGTTGACAAAGAAAAGTTCATGCATGAGATGCATTGTGTTATACTATGTCTTGTCTTTTAATCATTGATTGATCGTCATTTAGGTTAGATTTTCAGACTATTGAATTATAAAAGCAAAATGTTTGGAAAAAGGCTACTACTTTTGGCTTATTATACCACAAAATTCCAAATTGGTATATATCTATTGAGTTTCATACTTACATAATCATTTTTAGCTCCAAAGAAATTAAAATGATTAATCATATGAAATATAGTAAGATCTTTCCATTTGTTATGGGAAAGACCTAAATGATGAATTTCTGCTGGCATTTTAATGTCTCTGATCATACTTAATTGAATATTTTATCTGATCATTGATTAAGTGCTGCACCAAAAGTTATTGTTCTTTTTGCTCAGTAGATAACTATTTTTATTTCCTTTGCAGATCAATGGCATTTCATCCTGATGGATTGTGTCTGTTTAGTGGTGGTAAAGATCTGTTGAAAGTTTATGGGTGGGAACCATCAGAGTGTCATGATTCTATACCTATATCATGGGGCGATGTGGCAGATATAACACTCACACAGAACCAATTAGTATGTTTGATTATAATGTTTGAGTTTCTTTTATTTCTTGATTAGATGAGATATCTGTATCATACCAATGTTTAAATTCTAACTCATTGTAAAGTACATTGGACTGTTTTGATGTTTTTACAAAACTTTTGTTATACAGAAACTTGAAAGAAACAATGTACAATGTATTTCAACATTACAGCACCAATAGATAATTTTTATGAGTTTTATCATGCAGCTGGTGTTAAACTTTATTTGCCAAGGAGAATTTAAATATATGAAGTAAACACAAATGTAATTTTACCTAGTACTTTAGCCATCTAGGGACTGCATTAACTATATAACTTGTTGTCATGGTATTGAGAGGACTGATTTTCCTATAAAAATTGTTGTCATGAAATAAGGGATTGCTGTACCAGTAAAACTTGGTGCCATGGCAATATAAACTGCTTTACGAATAAAACTTTTTGCCATGGTACTATTGACAGCTTTACCAATAAAATTTGTTACAGTAATTTATGACTGCTTTACCAATAAATTATGTCCTGACCTTGTACAAATGCATCAAAACCCCCATTAAACAAACATCATGTAGATTGACACTATATCCTTCTTTTTCCCCCAAACAAACTCTGGCCTCAATTATTTCTTAAAATTAATATAAAGTAGACTTTACTTAATAAGTAGCTATAATTACATCTTCTTTTCCGCTGTTGATTTTTCACTTTTTAGAATTTCATTATTTTACTGTATTATTGTAGATAGGAGCTTCCTTTTCACAGACCAATGTCTCATGTTATGTTGTGGATGTACAGGTAACCTATATAGCTATCATATTTTGCACTTTAAAAATCCAATCTAAATTCTCGTCAGCTTGCTGCTAATGTAAATCCTTTTTTTTTGCAAAATCAATACAAAAAGACTGGCGATAGCAAATCATAATGAGATAAAGGAAAAGTTTATTCTTTACAGATACTTGCAACATGTAGCATTATTTTATTTTATTTTTTAATTTCAAAATCTGTTAATTTGACAGTTCTGGTATATCTCCTTGTCACTGTATTATTTTTAATGAAAAATAGGTTATAAATCATTACTACTTGTCTTCCTGTCTCAATGATATTTAAAAAATGGACTTCAGTATCAAAAGGTTGGTGTCTGTACTTCATGCAGAAATGTACATACGAAAGAATAAACAGCTTTGTACAAATTAGATGAAAATTCCAACATGAAGTCTCTCGATGTTATGTTGTTTTGTATTGTCCTAAAAATTTATACATTTGCATATAATTATTTTAGAGAGTTCACCCATTTGGAGGTGTACCTAATCAGGAAGGACAACAGCAACTGAACAGGTACATAATGCTATAACTTAAAAGGTAGATTTGTAATAATTGTTGACAAATATTGCATGAAATGGTTTGTATATTTGCCGATTTAATCAAAACTTAAAACCCATCTTTGAATGTTCAAAGGACCTTTTAACAGTGAGGCTAATTATTGTTGATTAAATTAGAAGAAGAAAATTATAAATAGAATACAAGATATGTTCATTGTTGATAATATATTATTGTAAAGTTTAAATGTAAAATAATTTTATGGAATAAGTTACTTTTGTTACCACAATGATGATGGTCTTGTTTTAGCATGCTTGTCCTAACTACAGGAGGTTGGGGTTCAAACTCTAGCTGCATTGAAACAAAAACTTTAAAATTGGTATTTACTGCTTGTACTCCAACATTACTGAATTTAGGAGTAATAGCAAAGACTGGTTGGCTTGGCATCATAATCATGTGTCCATGTAAAATGAAATTTCTCCCAAGATATTGTTATGTCTTGCATATTTAAATCAAGATCAGTGTGTGGTTCTAGTACTAAACAGGGTATGTAGTTTATCAACGTGTTATTGTCCTTATTGTATATACATGAACTAACAAGCAAATAAAGGTAAACAAAAAGTACCTGCACATTAAACCAAGAGTTCTAAAATGAGCTATTTACCATGTAGAAATTAATAAATATTTTAAACATTAAATGTTTTAAATGCCACATGTAAAGAAAATGTTTAACTCAAATAGGCTGCTTAATGCCAGTGTTTTTGTATAAACGTAATTATCAGGAAATGTTAGAAAACTTTATTTTGTTTAAACTAGGTATCTGGTTAAAAATACTTCATGGGGGCTTGAATTTATACTGATTTTACTCCAGTTTGACCCTTTATGCTAAATATTATACCACAAGCGATAGCGAGGGGTAAAATATCGGCATAAAGGGAAAACCCGTTGTAAAATCAATTTAAATTCAAGCCCCCATGAATTATTTCTATTCTAATAGGACATATACGGCAATTCTTTTGGATAGAAGCGCTCTAGGTGAAGGCAAACATTTGCTCTCATCATTAAACTAACTTAAAAAAACAGAGAAAACTGAACTATAGACATGCTTAAACTATTTACAATAAGATACTTAGATAGGTTTGGATGAATTTAAATGATAACCTTACTTATATGTAACAAATTTCATTATCGTTTGTTTATTTTTCCTTGATTTGATGACTTTCAGTTTCACAACCATGCATTTTCCCGTAAAATGCTTATATTCTTACGTCATCATTCAATGACGTCATTTAAACCGATTGTCATCGGGTAGCTTATTCATAAAAAAATATTTGAGGTGGGAGTATGATTGGAACAGCCCAAACAAATCATGACATTGCCGATCAGCTGACATACAATATATTCATATTTTACCACGGGTGTGTACTCAAAGCATTTGAAGAACGTCATATTAGAATTTATTGTATAATGTTATTAATGTTATAAATATGTCACCTTTACAGTAGTCAAAACAGTAGTCATAACAGAAAAAGTTTTATAACAGAAAGACCACCCACACAGTCATCAAGACAGGCAAGGTAAGTTTTGTGGATTGGTGCAATGTATATTATTTTCCCCATTTCATCTCTTTCCTTTGCAAGAGTTATCTCCACTTCAGACAGGTATGATAAAATACCAATTCTCTTTGCTTTGATGAATGATGTTTGTTATAGGCTGCATCAAAAAGCTATATAATGGCATTCTCTGCAGAATGTTACTATGCTCAGGGCTCACGCTACCATGCCACTGGGGCAACAAAGTCGCTTTCCCAGCCGTCACTTGGCTTTGCCCGACCGTCAAAAGCGAAATCTAGTAGCCCTGTTGTTTAAGATACTCGCTTTCAGTCGCTTTTGTCATCGGCAATATTCAATTTTTACCAAGTCGATGAACAGCAATTTTTCATTTAAAAGTAAAGAAATTCAAGGACTTAAACAATTTATTTTCTTCAGAAAAGTGATTAAAGCATTGATTTTAAAGTTGGTTGCATGTTATTTCATAAAAAAACAATTGTTTATCACTTCCGGTACTTGTTACTCAAGGCGTACATCAAATCATTCTAAATTTCGGCAAAATAAGTTTGTTACTTCATTAGAACGTGATGAAATTTGCCTGAAGTAAATTTGTTATCCATGTATTGCATTAAAAACGTCATATTTCTTTCCAAATAGCGTGTCCAACATCGTTTATTTTTGTAAATTTTTCTTCATCCGCCATTGAAATATTTGTATAAACTACTGATCGTAACCGGACCAGCTATGACCGAAATCCGGATTCTTACGATAATGACTACGGACGCATGAATGGCACAGCTGACAGAGGAATATTGATCTCAAAAGGAAAAATTACCCATTCCACGCTCATTAACATACTTTTGGTTAGATCTTCTTGATTAATATATATATTTCCATGGTATGTATATGCATTGTCTCAATTTATTATTTAAAATTGATCAACTCTGGGAATACTAAGTCCAAGCTTTACTGTGTTAAATTTATATATTTTTTAATGAGAAACACTGAATTTCATAAACATGATAACAGAGTACATTTTAAATTGAATTTTAATTGATACAACAACTTTCTTTTCCTTTTTGATATGAAAAAATCTTTTTTATTATTGCTAGATATTTAATTTTTCTTCTAACAAGAGGACTAATATGATTGTGCAACTAGATATGATAAAATTAAACAACTTTGAATTTGAACTGTTACCTTTATTGTATTCCCAGGTACAAATTGAACAATATAAAAAAATAAGATACATATGGCCCTTTGTATTATAGTAAAAACCAAACAGTGTAGCGCTGCGAGTGAACGAGCACTTCTCTTTCAAATCTCACCACTTCTCTCTCTCAGTTTCAAAAAGAGAAGTCACTTCTCCCTATGATTCTGAAGTAGTGTGAGCCCTGTATGCTGACTATTTCATTGCTTAAATATACTAACTAAATTTTGTATCAAAAGTATAAGCATCGTTCTAAAAATGAATAACATTTAAATCAATTGTTATTCAGAAAGAAATGTATTTAAAAGAAAATAAAAAAGGATGAATATCTAATTAATTCTTGAACTTATGGATTCTCAACAATTCAGACCAATGCTCCTCTTTAATTGATCCCTGTCAACATTATATTTTATCTATTCTTTTTGTCGAAATGCAATTGTTTGACTAATCTTTCCATCCTAGACATAAGGGCTGTTCCATTGAAACATACATGGTACCCAGGGAAGGTACTGTGAAAATGGGTTGAGATTTCAAAGTGCCCTGGCGCACTCCCATGTATGTTTTATAGAACAATCCTATGCAATAAAGCTACAAAAGGAGCTACATAGTGCACAAACAGATAAGATAACACACATATAGGTTTTCAGATGACTTATCCTTTACTCTTTTGAATGACATATAGTTCTCTTTATTTTAGCGTTCCTAAAGAAGAAGCTGAAGAACCAACACATGATAATGAAGATGAGAAAGAGACATCAACTGCTGATATAAAAAATCCTGAAGATTACAGAGAAATCTTCCAACCAAAGTCACGCATTACTAGGTCACCTACTCGAAAAGTGGAACCATTCCCAGCTCCTCCTGAAGATGGTACTATAGATATGCTTTTAATTTCAAATAGAATTATTACAAAATATATATTACTGTTTTATTTCTTTAAAGCATTTAGCATGGTCAAATTTTTTTATTATTATAATTAGATAAAGATGGTTTTTGGATCCTGCTCTTTCTTCCTTAATCTAATAAACCCCTTTCCAATTTCTTTTGATATGTATGTATTATTCACTATAAAGCATGATATTCAACTCTGAATGGTTTATTCGATACTTGCTTGTAAATGAGTGCATTGGACAGTTCATGCTGTTTGATTAACAGAATTATTTGAATAAATTTCTGTCAGATACTTTTCAGGGAAATCTTTCTTAAAAAATGTGCAAAATTGTAAATAATTGTATTAGTCATTTCCTAAGAAGTTTGTTTATACCAAACTCTGTGACCATTCTTTTTCATTAGTAAAAGATTTTATAAAGAAATTAATTGGATCTGTCTTTAAGTACAGAGACAGCTTTCTGTTACTTAAATTGATGAAAAATCAGGAAATTCACAAGAAACTCCAATCTAAACGATTTTTTTGTGAAATTCAATAGAAAATTGAAAATCTTTATTTATCTATTATTCAGAATGTCAAGTAGAGACTAGAAAGTATCTTATCAAAATATTTATAAGCTTATTTATGTTAACATTTATGTTCAATTTCATGTTATTATTAATACGAAAAAAAATTCAAGTGAATTTTCTAAGCAAATTTACCTGAATTCAGTGAAAAAATGTTAATTTCAGTACCCAGTGAACCAGAACCAGTAAAAAAACCACCACCAGCCAGGAAAACTAGTGAGTTAGACTTAAAATAACAAACAAACAAAAAATTATTTAAGGTCATTACTTCTTTTCTATTGAACACAAAGATTTAAGAGAAAACATGACTGTCAATATTGATCATGTTAAATATTTTTGCTATAAGATTAACAACTTAGTTGCAGTATAAAGTAGTGTGGATCATCAGAAACTAGAAAGTGCATATAGAAATATTTTGCATGCGTTTTGCAACTATGCCTTTTTTATTTAGTTTTATGTGTGTTTCTTATTTAGTTTTTTGGTGACTGTATATTTTTCCTTTGAATGATGCAAGTCTTTAATATATTCATGCCATGTGAATGATTCTAGTTGCACTACATATATATGTTTGTTTTAGCACCGGAGCCTGAACCTGCACCAAAACAGCCTGTCAAAAAAACACCTAGTAAGTTAAGCATGAACAAACACAAAATAACAGAAAAGTTGCTGTCTAGAATATGTGGTTGTGTGCACTGAAATCTGTATCGGAGCTATTCCAGAATCAATTGTGTTGGGGTTGGGGGTTGAAGTCCCCTTACATTGTTAAAATAGGTGTAATTGGGTTTGAAACATGTTTTCAAACAATATCACATTACATTTTCAATTAGAATTGTATAGGTAAGCACTTTCGGAAAAACTGCCTTCCAACTTTTAATTTTGGAATAGCTCTCATATGTTTTTATACGCCCGTTTACGGGACATATTATGCTATACCATTGTCTGTCTGTCCGTCCGTAGTCAACATGTCGGACATTAACTCAAAAACGCTTAAACCAATTTGCATAAAACTTTGGTGAATTGTTTATATCTATTGACGTGAGCTCCCTTTCGTTTTTTATAAATTTGAGATTTTATGTTTCCGAGTTATGGGGTGTTATTCATTAAAAAAAGGGGGATTTTCCAGTTTTTGGACAATAACTCAAGAATTCTTTCACCAACTTGCAAGAAATTTTGGTTAATTGTTTATATCTATTGACATGAGCTCCCTTTTGATTTTTATAAATTTTAGATTTTATGTTTCCAAGTTATGGGGTTTTATTCATAAAAAAAGGGGGATTTTCAAGTTTTCGGACAATAACTCAAAAATGCTTTCAGCAGTTCTCATGAAACTTTGATGAATTGTTGATATCTATTGATGAAAGCTCCTTTTAGAATTTTATAAATTTTAGATTTTACATTTCCGAGTTGTGGGGTTTTATTCATTAAAAAAGGGGGGATTTTCCAGTTTTCAGACAATAACTCAAAAATGCTTTCAGCAATTCTTATGAAACTTTGGTGAATTGATTATATCTATTGATGTAAGCTCCCTTTAGAATTTTATAAATTTTATTTGTTTATAGTCTGACAACAGATTTACTAAGTATTGCGCAACAGCATAGTGTATTGCACAACAGCAAGAAATCTTTAATTGAATATAAATTCAATTCATATAACCAATTTCAAGTTCTTTGACTACATTTATTCAGAAACCTATAATATGTCAAATATTTAATCACAATCCAAATTCAGACCAGTATCAAGCTTAAATATTGTGTCCATTTTTGCCCCACTGTTCAGGGTTGGACCTCTGCGGGCATATCCAGCTGCGCTCAGCGAAGCAGTTTATTAACAGATTTCAAAGTAATATTTCTTTTCAAAGAACAGAATAGAATAAGGAGCAAGGTTCTGTTTGCATCTAGGCGACATGGTCATAAAGTTTTACCCCTGTACATCCATACCTCCAGAAATTGGTTTATGTTCTCTAACTTTAGTTTGCCTCAAGCAAATGTTATGAAACTTATACATACAAAATGCCTATTACCACAATGCACAGATCAAGTTCTAATTTTTGTGGCGTCACTTTCACTGTTTTCCAGTTATGTCCCTTTATAAATGGAAATATTGCTGAATATCCTGTTTTTGCGCTCTAACTTTACTTTGTCTCTATAACCAAAGGTTATGAAACTGATTCACATGCTTATTATCACTAAACACAGATCAAGTTCATATTTGGGTTGTGTCACTGTCACATTCTCGATTTATGTCCCTTTATAAATGAAAAAAAATTGCTGTTTCTGCACTCACTTTACTTTGCCTCAACCAAATGTCTTATTCAGATTATGTTAGAATTTGAGTGGTGTCACTTTCACTTTTCTTGAGTAATGTCCCTTTATAAAATGAAAAATTGCTGAATTTGCCGTATATTTACAGACAGGGGCATTTGTGTCCCATGTACACATGCTTCTTTTGTTTTTGTTTTATTTTTTTGCAAATTCTCCCTATGAATATTGCAGATTGGATGTCAAATTAAGTGGATGCACACATTGTTTAGTGGAAGATTTTAGGCAATTTAAGTCCTGTTTGTAATACTGTGGATTCATTATAATTTGTTGGATTCCAATTTTCGTTGATTTCGTGGGTACAGGTGAACCACGAAATTGAATTGAGTTCAACAAATGACAAATTTTCTAAAGGCTTGTATGCAGACTTCGGCAAAACCACAAATTTACATATCAAGGAAAATGTAACTTTTCCTTAATCCACGAAAATTGGTACCCATGAAAATAAATAAATCCAAAGTAATTGTAATTTTGTTTAAATTCCAGGTAAAAAAGAATCTGAATCATCTAAACCAGTGCCAAAAGCTGTATCTAAACAGACAAGACAGATAAAATCTCCAAGAGAACCTCCAGAAAACTCTGCCATATCTGCTCAAGATTTTCTTCCTGTTAGTATATATTTTAAACTCAATATCATATAACTATAACATTTCTGTTTTCTCATTAGCCAAAAGCAAAGGGAATATTCTACAGTAAAACATAATATTGTTAATGGAAAAAAATCCTTAAAGGTTAATAGAAGATTTGAAACAGCTAACGTTTACCTAAATTGTTATTTTACTAGGCAATGTCCATGACATAAGTTTATGACATCATGATAAATTGTGTTTTCTTCTTTTTTCTATGTCAATAATTTTATAATGTCAGTTATTGATTTATCATATATTTAGTAAATTGTCTGTAATACAATCATTGGCAATCGTTCTGCATCAACAACCCCTGATGCTATGGATATCAGTCACAGTTTTACATGCATTATCATACCCTAACAGAAAAACTTCTGTTTTAAATATACATTAAAGTGTATAGGACATATCAACACTCATCCAAAAATTTTCTTTTTAAAGTGGTGACTGGCTTTATCACAGTGAAATTCAGCTTAAAGTTATACAATAGATTATTACTTTTATAACACATGTTGCTTATACAAACATCACATCCATACTTCATTGTATTGTTTTCCCAAATTCTACATACATTTTTAATGATATATAGAAAACTTTTTGTTAAAACACTTACATTTATGATTAACCTTTACCCACAAATTCATTAAACATTATTGTACTGGTCTCATTTATAAATTAACATTATTGTACTGGTTTCATTTATAAATTAACATTATTGTACTAGTCTCATTTATAAATTAACATTATTGTACTGGTCTCATTTATGAATTAACATTATTGTACTGGTCTCATTTATAAATTAACATTATTGTACTAGTCTCATTTATCATGAACAAAGACAATATTCACAAGTAGGTTTTTGTAGATTTTGTTATTAGATTTAACCTGACAAAAGAGTTACATTTGTTCTTAGCTATGAAAAAAATATTTATAATGATTTGCTTTTAACATTTATTTACAGAAATCTGAAAAACCAGGAAACAAAAAATCTCAGTTTGTAACAGATGAAAGTGTATTACAGACAATTCAAAATGGACATGATGCCATGTCAGCTGTTATGTCTTCAAGGAGTAAAAATTTACAAATTGTTAGAGCCATGTGGACTTCAGGAAACACGAAGGTACAGTGTTTTGGAACAATAATATTATTGTGTGTTGTATTTGGCAAAACCATTTATAATTTTGGGGCATCAATGCTCTTCAACTTAGTTCTTGATTTTGCCTTTTAAATTTTTTTTATTGAAGCCTCACTGGTGAGTCTTTTGTAGATGAAACATGCTTCTGGCATGCAAAATTATAAGCTGGGTATCTTTAATTAGTTTTTGTCGAGCCTGCAACTTTTGTCGCAGAAAGCTAGACATAGGGATAGCAATCCATCGGCAGCGTTAACTAATTTCTTAAAAGCTTAATATTTCAGAAGGTAGAAAACCTGGATGCTTCATACTTTGTATATAGATGCCTTATGATATGATGTTTCCGTCTGTCATATGTCCATTATCCTTGACCTCATTTTCATGGTTCAGTGATGACTTGAATAAAAAGTTAATATTTTTTTGTAATGTTAATTTCTGTCTTATTATGAGTAATAGGATAACTATGTTTGGTATGTGCATACCATGAAAGGTCCTCATGCTTGTCAGACAGTTTTCTCTTCACCTCAACCTCATTTCACGGATCAGTGAACAAGGTTAAGTTTTCGTGGTCAAGTCCATATCTCAGATACTATAAGAAAAAGGTCTACTATATTTGGTGTATGTAATGATTGTAAGTTGTACATGTCCAACTGGCAGGTGTCATCTGACTTTGACCTCATTTTCATGGTTCAGTGGTAAAAGTTAAGTTTTTGTGTTTTTAGGTCAACTATATTTGGCGTATGGAAATATTTTACGATGTAAATGTCAGTCTGGCAGGTTTTATTTGACCTTGACCTCATTTTCATGGTTCATTACTTAATGTTAAGTTTTTGTGTTTTGGTCCGTTTTTCTTAAACTCTAAGCAATAGGTCACCTATATTTGGTGTATGGAATGATTATAAGATGTACATGTCTGTCTGGCAGGGTTCATCTGACCTTGACCTCATTTTTATGGTTCATTGGTTAATATAAAATTTCCATGTTTGGTCTCTTTCTTTTATACCATAAGCAATATGTCATCTATATAAGGTGTATGGAATGATTGTATTAAAAGTGTACATGTATTTCTGGCTTAGTTTTTCTGACCTTGACCTCATTTTCTTGGATCATAAATGTTAATGTGATACTTGTAAAACTTTATGTTTAGGACTATCAACATAAAATCAGACATTTCAGCGTGTGCACTCTTGTTTATGTAAAAATATGGAGCTGTCGTATGATTGCCAGGCGACCAAAGGTAATACTTAAGATAGTTCATGGCTATGAAGCAAACATTTTATACATTCTCCCTACAATATCAAAGCCTTATAGGGTGAATATTTTTATATTTTCAGACAGCCTTAGACTCTGCAATATCAATGAGGGACCCTTCTGTGATAGTAGACTTATTAAATGTTCTTAATTTAAAAACGTAAGTATCCATTACATTTTGTATTTTATTAACTACAACCTGTCCAGTGAGTTTTTGGACATGATTTACTATCAGATCTGATACATATGATTTGTGGATAAATGAGCAATTCTTTATAGTACTTATGATCTTGGTTAAACTCCAATATGGTAGCCACCACACATTATAGTTTTACAAAGGATTGAAATGGAGTCCTAGATAACATGAATCTAAACCAGCTCTTCAAGGTATCAGGTCTCACACTAGCAGGCGACTTGGCCGAAAAAGTCCCTTTCAGGTCTGTCACTTCGCTTTGCCAGACCATCAAAAGCGATATCTAGTCGCCCTGGTGTTCATAATGGTTGCTTGCAGTTGCTGTCCACATTGGCAATTTTCCATTTTTACCAAGTCAATAAAACAGCAATTTTTTATACGCCCATTTACAGGAGGTATTATGGTATACTGTTGATCGTCTGTCGGTCGGTCTGTCCATCTGTCTGTCCGTCCGTCTGTCGTCAACATTTCGGACATTAATTCAAAAACGCTTTAACCAATATGCATAAAACTTTGGTGAATTGTTTATTTACATTGACGTGAGCTCCCTTTCGTTTTTTTATAAATTTCGGATTTACCGTTTTCGAGTTTTGGGGTTTTATTCATTATAAAAGGGTGGATTTTTCAGTTTTCGGACAATAACTCAAAAACAATTTCACCAATTTGCATGAAACTTTTGTGAATTTTTTATATCTATTGACGTGAGCTCCCTTTCGTTTTTTATAAATTTTCGGATTTACCGTTTCCGAGTTTTGGGGTTTTATTCATTAAAAAAAGGGGGATTTTCCAGTTTTCGGACAATAACTCAAAAACAATTTCACCAATTTGCAAGAAACTTTGGTGTTTTGTTTATTTCTATCGACATGAGTTCCCTTTTGATTTTTATAAATTTTAGACTATAGGTTTTCCGATTATGGGGTTTTATTCATTACAAAAAGGGGGATTTTCCAGTTTTCTGACAATAATTCAAAAATGCTATTAACATTTTTATGCCCCCGCCGTAGCGGTGGGGGCATTAATGTTTACCCTTGTCCGTCCGTACGTCCAAAAATTGGTTTCCGTTCTCTAACTTGAGTTTGCCTCAACCAAATGTTATGAAACTTATACACAATGCTTATTACCACAAAACACAGATCAAGTTAAAATTTTGGTGGCGTCACTTTAACCGTTCTAGAGTTATGCCCCTTTATAAATGGAAAAATTGCAAAATTTTTAGTTTCCGTTCTCTAACTTAAGTTTGCCTCAACCAAATGTTATGAAACTTATACACAAGGCTTATTACCACAAAACACAGATCAAGTTTGAATTTTGGTGGCGTCACTTTAACCGTTCTAGAGTTATGCCCCTTTATAAATGGAAAAATTGCAAAATTTTTATTTTCTTCTTAATATCAAGTTATTTTTAAAATTGTAGTTATCTTCCTTTGTCCATGATTATAGTTGAATCAACTACAATCAATGCTTTATACAAGGCAATGTTTAATTTTGACTTCCACTGATAAAACACAGATCAAGTTGAATTTGGGTAGTGTCACTTTAACCATTATTGAGTTATGCCCCTTTATAAATAGAAAAATTGCTGAATTTTTAGTTTCTGTTCTCTACTTAAGTTAGCCTCAACCAAATGTTATGAGACTTACACACAAAACTCAGATCAAGTTCAAATTTGGGTAGCATCACTTTTACTGTTCTTCAGTTATGTCCCTTTATAACTATATGATATGCAAGTGGGGGCATCATCTGTGTCCACATGTGGACACTATCCACATTTATTTATGAAACTTTGGTAAATTGTTTATATCTATTTTTGTAAGCTCCCTGCTAATTTTTATAAATTTTCGATTTACGTTTCCGAGTTATATTTGTTTATAGTATGACAACAGATTTACTAAGTATTGCGCAACAGCACAGTGTATTGCACAACAGCAAGAAATCTTTGATTGAATATAAATTCAATTTATATAACCAATTACAAGTTCTTTGACTACATTTATTCAGAAACCTATAGTATGTCAAATATTTAATTACAATCCAAATTCAGACCTGTATCAAGCTTGAATATTGTGTCTATTTTTGCCCCAACTGTTCAGGGTTGGACCTCTGCGGGCGTATCCAGCTGCGATAGCGAAGCAGTTTATCTGTTATCAGTAAAGAAATTCAAAGAAAGAAACGATTTATTTCTGTAGAAAAGATGTGAAAGTATTGACTTTATAGATTGGTCGTTTGTTATTTCAAAGAAACAACTTTGATGAAATATTCCAGTAATCGTTACTCATACTGTATATCAAAATATATGGATTTTCGGCAAAATAAGTTTGTTTCTTCATTAGAACGTAATAAAAATTGCCTTTAGTTAATTTTTCATCCATTTATTGCATTAAAAGTGACATATTCCTTTCCAAAACACTAGTCAAACATTGTTTATTTTTCGTAAATATTTCTTCGTCTGCCATTGAAATATTTGTACGAACCACAGATTGGAGTCGTGATTCATCGGAAGCGGATCAGATATGACTGAAATCTGTATTTTTATGATAATAACTACAGACACACCAATGGAACAGCTGACAGAAGAATAATGATCCCAAAAGTGAAAATTTTGCATTCCACGTGTATAAAAACTTTTGGTTAGATCTCCTTGCTCAATGTTTATATTTCCATGTAATGCATTGTTTCAATTTATTGATTTAAGTTGCTTAACTTTGTTAAATTTATTTATCTTTTTAATGAGAAACAAAGAATTTCCTAAACAGGATAAACAGCATAGTTTTTTGATTGAATTTTAATTGATATATGATACTTTCTTTTCTTTTTTGCTATAAAAAAGATCTTTTTAGTGCTAGATATATAGTTGGAAGTTTCTGACAAGAGGGAAAAATTTAATTGAGTAACTATAAATGATTATTTAAGGCATAAACTGAAACAACTGTTACTTTATTGTATTCTCAGGTATGAATTTAATAATATAAAAAAGAATTAAATAAATAGGATACATATGGCTATTTATATTATGGTAAAAACAAAACATTTTAGCGCTGTGATTGAACAAGCACTTCTCTCTATCAGTTTCAAAAAGAGAAGTCACTTCTCCCTATGATTCTGAAGTAGTGTGAGCCCTGAGGTATTCCATTTTTGCTGAATCAAAATCAAAAGATGGTTGCCAACATGGAAAATAATAATATACATGAACTAGATAAAGTCAGATTCCTTGGAAAGTTTCACTTCATGTTTTTTTGTAGTCTCAGATTTGTATTTTGTTTTGGGTATAATGGTTTGCTTTAAAATTAAGTGTATGCTGTTTCTATATAATCTGTGAAACTTGTTAGACTGATAATAAGCTACAAAAAATGTACAAATACATTTCATAGGAAAATGTTTGTTCATATATACACTACATGTAATACTAATTTGTCTTTTTCAGGGGCTTATGGAATTTAGATCTGTGTAGCAGTTTATTACCTCAGGTTAAAGATCTCCTTAACAGTAAATATGAAAGGTAAAACACATGAGATATATAAATTTTGTTTTTTTCCATAATTCCATATCTCCTTGGTAAACCTTTTTTTTAAATTATATATTGGGTAATTGTTTGTTTCTTATACTTAAGTATTGTGCCAGAATGTGTGTCCCACATATATCTGCCAAAAAAAATTGTGCTGCCATGAACTTGAATAATCAAAAGATGAAAATTATAAGAATTGATTTTTTCCATGAAAAATTTGTACCAATGAAAATAAATGAATTCACAGTATTTAGTTGAAGTGCCAATATATAACTTATCCTCAAATTAACCAGAGGCTGAACTGAGCCGACTAGAAAGAAGCACCATATGGTCTTGCTATAGCAGACAGGGCATTATGTACTCAGAACTGGAAAATAGATTTAAGATGAACGTATATTCTACATAATCTGACTTAGATTGAGATGATATACATTCAGCACTATTGGCTATTGGCTATAATGTGTCTGTCAGTTTTTATTGGTAAAGGAAGCTGAAAGAAGCATGACCTTCGGCAGGAAAACTGACAATCCTAGTCAATTAAGGTTGGAGTAGAACGGATCTGCCAGTGATACAGTAGATGAACTACTTAATCCACTCAGCCCCCAGGGAAAGCGAAAAGCTGGTAGATCTCTCCAAGATGATTCTTCAGAATTAATATATTTTGATGTAATCATTGAAGGATGCTTCATTTATGATGCTATCTTTTAATTCTGTGTATTTCTATGTATTTTTTTAGCCATGCAGAAGCTGCCTGTCATGCTTTAAAGATTATACTTAGAAACTTTGGACCTGTGATAAAGTCAAATATTACATCAGCGCCAAGTATAGGTGTTGATCTATCAAGAGAAGAAAGGTAAGAAAAATATGTTCTTTAACATAGATATTAAAAAGCAAAGTATGTTTTAAGTATACAAAAAAAAAAAAGATTTTGGAAAACGTGTTATATGAATTTTTTTTTTTAAATTGTGACCATAAGTTTCAACTTGGCAAAAATTTATGTTTTTATTTACCCCCATTATACAACTTATGATGCAGTAAAATTAGTATGTGTACTGTTTGTTGTCGAGCCTGCGACTTTTGTCGCAGAAAGCTCGACATAGGGATAGTGATCCTACGGCGGTGGCGGCGGTGTTAGCTTACTTCTTAAAAGCTTTATATTTTAGAAGATAGAAGATCTGGATGCTTCATACTATGTATATGGATGCCTCATGTTACGAAGTTTCCGTCAGTCACATGTCCAATGTCCTTGACCTCATTTTCATGGTTCAGTGACTACTTGAAAAAAAAGTTAACATTTTTTGTTAAATTCTCTCTTATTATAAGTAATAGGATAACTATATTTGGTATGTGCGTACCTTGCATGGTCCTCATGCCCGTCAGACAGTTTTCACTTGACCTCGACCTCATTTCATGGATCAGTGAACAAGGTTAAGTTTTGGTGGTCAAGTCCATATCTCAGATACTATAAGCAATAGGTCTAGTATATTCGGTGTATGGAAGGACTGTAAGGTGTACATGTCCAACTGGCAGGTGTCATCTGACCTTGACCTCATTTTCATGGTTCAGTGGTTATAGTTAAGTTTTTGTGTTTTGGTCTGTTTTTCTTATACTGTATGCAATAGGTCTACTATATTTGGTGTATGGAATGATTGTAAGGTGTACATGTCTAGCTGGCAGGTGTCATCTGGCCTTGACCTCATTTTCATGGTTCAGTGGTCAAAGTTAAGTTTTTGAGTTTTGGTCTTTTTTTTCTAATACTATATGCAATAGTTCAACTATATTTGGTGTATGGAAATATTTTATGATCTATATGTCATTCACGTAGGTTTTATTTGACCTTGACCTCATTTTCAAGGTTCATTGCTCAGTGTTAAGTTTTTGTGTTTTGGTCTGTTTTTCTTAAACTATAAGCAATAGGTCAACTATATTTGTTGTATGGAAGAATTGTTAGCTGTACATGCCTGCCTAGCATGGTTCATCTGACCTTGACCTCATTTTCATGGTTCATTGGTCAATGTTTGGTTTACTTGGTTAATGTTAAGTTTATGTGACAGTTGTAATAAAGCTTTATATTTAGGACTATCAACATAATATCAATGATTAGTAAAGAAGGCGAGACATTTCAGCGTGTGCACTCTTGTTTTTTTTTTTAAACAGCAAGTTTTTAATTCCTTCTGATTGTACTGATGTTATTGATACTAAATAGATAATTTTTTGTTTTTGTAACTAATTTGTCCAACAGCTATGATGAAATGAACTGTACCTTGCTTTACCAGAATATTAGTCAAAATAATATTTATAATGGGTTTTTTTCTACTTTTCATAAAAAAACATTATATTTTTTTATGTTTTTTTTTAGAATACAGAAGTGCAATGCTTGTTATAATTTTTTGTCAGAAATAAGAATAACATTAGAAAAGAAACAATCGGTATCTGGCAAATTAGGAAATCTTTATAAGGAAGTGCAAATTCTGATGTCAACAATGGATTAATGAAGAAATTGTAGAAAGTGATAGTGTTTGAAAGCCATTGGTGGGGCAGCTCAGTATTGACCAATCATATAAGACAGTTGGGTAACAGTCCATCCACTCACAGATGATATGGCATTGTCATCTTCAGCGATCATCCAATCAAAACTGTTGTACCATTCTATGATCATATGATCCATTAAGTGAAGAATGTGTGAGGCCAGGGAACAAAGTGAACATTAAAACAATACATTTCTCTATATTTATGGTTGTGTGCTTTGTAATGAATCATCTCATAATTTTCTTTCCATTTCCCAGTTAGCCTTGGCTCAAGAAGATTTTTCTATCTGAAATTCTCCAACCTGATACATATTTTCATATGACATATTTTGTTAACATAAAGAACTATTTAGAAGTTTGAAAGCTGGTGAATTCAAAATTGCTCTGACAATAAAGACAGAAGTTTTTTAAGAAAATATGTATTGAGTTGAAGTGTTTCCACTTTAACGAATCTCTTTCATTAGTTTTTGCTTACCATAATGTATACATGTATTAATTTTGTTTTAGTTTGCATATTGACAGTTACCCAAATGGAAAAATTTGATTTAGTTTGCGATATAACACATTTCCCTTAATGACCTTGGTTATGAAATGACCTTTGAATGGCTTTTGAATTTTTAAAGACAAGGGGCATTAGAGGTTTAAATTTTGTTAAGAATAAGATTGAAACTGTGGGAACAATAAATCAGAAATATGTGTATTTCTCAATTGATAGATTATCATTGTACAGCAATTTTGTCAAAAAGCATTTAATTTCTGTAGAAAAAATAGTGAACTATTGACAGTTGTAACAGACATTAATTATTTGGGAATTTTATCCCTTGGTATGAACTTGCATAGTGAAATGCTATTGTTATATGCCATTGTTATGTATATATAAAAAGCTTTATACAGACATAATTAGTGCTATTTTTTTATGCAACAAGAAGTAGAACTCTACTTTTTTACTTCAAAAGGAAAATAAATATATATATGTAGCTTTAAGAGCATACACTAATATTAGGATAGATTGAAACACAAAATCAAATGCCAAAAGCTTGCTGATATATTAGATTGTTGCATTTTATCTAATAATTGTACACCTTTTCTAGTCTTAGAATACTGTGGATTCATTATTATTCGATGGATACCAATTTTCGTGGATTTCATGGGTACAGGGTCACCACAAATTTAAATTTTCAACGAATTCAAAATTGTCTATAGAAATGTATGCAGACTCAAGCAAAACCACGAAATTAAATATCCACGAACCTGTAAGTTTTCCTCAATCCACGAAATTGGTATCCACGAAAATAGATGAATCCACAGTAGAAAAGGAAACAATACTTCCTAGTGGCATCTTTCGAAAATTTATAGCAGACCCAGAAGACATTGCTTGATAGTTTCATATAAAACAATGGACCAGAACATTTGTATTATTTTCTGTAATCATTTTCCATGTGCATTATTGTAGTATCATTTGAATTTTCCTCTAGATGTTCTGGTTTTAGGATTATAATTGTAAATCCAGTCCTTTGACAATTAAAAAAAACCTTCATTCCAGACATTGTGTAAAACATATCAAGCTTTCTGTAATGTTTAGTTGATTTTAAACCATTCATTTGAGTATATTTTTTATTATTTTGTAAAAGTTAGAATAAATGACTGCTTGTGAAATTGCTATGCACAGTTAATATAGAGTTATCTCCCTTTGTCTAGGTTTTTTAATGGTCATGTTTGATAACAAAAAAAACAAGAATCAAATTTCTAAGTCGAATTTTGAAAGCAATCAAATTATAATCGCGTGCAAAGAACAAATCTTGTTAATAGATGTGAAATGATAAATTATGTCATTGATTTCATATCAATGTGGTCATGCAAGGATGTGAATTTATTTCATATTATAACTCTAATGTTTTATTTTGGGTACAGGATTTACATTTGTTTACAAAATGGTTTAGAAATCTAGTTATTGTTTTCTTGTAATTAGAACTGACCTATAAGAACACTTCCTGTTAATGATTTTCAAATTGTAAATGTTTCAATGTATATGTGCCATGTTTAATTGAAACGAACAGACTGTAAAGCAACATTCAGATTTTTGTACAGTATATATGTACACATGGTTGTATATGTCACTGTTGTGTATTATGTTTTTTTGAAACACGATTGTATATATTTTAAAGTATTTATTGCAAAGCAATATATAGACATTTATGTGAAGTAAAATGTGCATGTTATTGAAATTTTGGAAATGATTTTTATTTTATACAGTGCTGTAGAATCCATTGTGGAAATAAGTGCTCAATGTCTTTCATTCCACCAGAATATACACTTCTAGAGAAACCATATTTTTACTTACAATAGACTATTTTCATATTACAGACTTTTGACTAAGGAGTATATAATTTTTCGGTACTCTGTCAAGAAGGAGTACCTAAAAGAAGTAAAATGAAGCTTAAAATTGGTGCAATTTGGGGAAAATATTAAGTGTTTTATGTTTTCTATACACAACACTTACGTCAACGGAAAGCAGTTAATTTTTTTGCCAAAATGAACCCATTGTAAGCTTGATTCTTTAAGTGGCTTGTAGTTGACAAAGTACCAGAATGTCCTATCATAGAAAGGTTACTTGTCGAAAAATTATATACTCTGGAGTCAAAAGTCAGTAACATGAAAATAGTCAATTAGTTATTATGCATGCTGTGTGGTATAAATATTTATATATATATGTATATGTACATGTGTCCAGTATACTTTTGAGTGATTTAAAGGCTTGTATGCATGCAAGCCTTTAATGTTTCTGTGTAACTTGTACTAAATACTACTTTATGAAGGCGCTTACATGATATATCCACATCATTGCCAATGAGTGATAGTTGTCTCATTGTCAATCACACCACATCTTCTCATTTTATCTTGAAGGAGAAAATATTGCTACAGATATTTTATTCCAGTTTAGTGGAAAAGATATGCTTGGTTATACTTATTTTAGAGTTTTTGATTATCCTGTATTTTTCGTTGATGTTTGTTAAATTTATTCCTTTAAAGAAAACGGGCAGTTTTCAGTTTTTGACAATTTTGCCTTTACAGATATTTGATTAAAAGGTTAGTTTAGTTTCATTTCCTTAAAATAACATGAGTGATATTTTGGTAGGCATTGCTGTTATAAAGAATTAAAACATGATTAATACCTTTTATGAATTTTGTCATTCACACATCTAAACCCCAAAATTTTTATACCTTACAAATTGTTAACTTTTATAGGTATTTGTTATGTGCAAAGGTTGAAAGTTCAAGAACTCTTTGACCCAACTCCTTTTTCATTAGCCATTCACAAATATAGTTTCAATAATTCATCTATAATATCTTCTTGTCCCTAATGAAATCTGTTAAGATTGTTATAATGCTCAGGTATTAAACCAGAAATGCTTAGTTTGAAAAGTTGTCCTTATTGTACTTTACCAGAGTTCAGTCTGAGTAGTATTGACCTCACCTAACTGTTCTATAAATGGCGCATGTACCAATCTTATTAGAAAAGTGTTGCCTAGTATGTTTTGAAGGGAATTATATTTATCATATGCTTTAATTTGGTCTTGTATAATTACATTTTGAATTGAGAGAGGGTACAAACATCATGCATCTGTTGAATGGACCAAGGCCTTGAATATGTATGATTAATTATTTGTTTGTCTTACAGAAATAAAAGAGTGAAAGCTTTTGTTGTCTAATTAATTTTCCTTCTGATTACTTCATTTTAAGTTCACCTTTTCAAAGCTGCCCTATAAGTTTGGATTTATATTGAGGGTTTCTTTCTGCACCTACCACAGACAAAATGGAAAATTGATCATACCAAAACATATACTTTTATTGCTGATCTTTAATCTAGTATGGCCATTACACCGTTAACAAAGTTTAAGTAATACAAAGGTATCATTGTGGGGAAAAAAAGATAACCGTCTTCCGTCATCGTCATCATTAACTTTTACAAAAATCTTCTCTAAAACTACTTAGCCAAATTAAACACACTTGGCTACAATCACCATTAGGGTGTCTAGTTTTTATACGCCCGTTTACATGACATATTATGGTATACCGTTGTCGTCAACATGTCTGACAATAACTCAAAAACGCTATAACCAATTTGCATGAAACTTTGGTGAATTGTTTATATCTATTGACGTAAGCTCCCTTTTCCATTTTTATAAATTTTAGATTTTACGTTTCTGAGTTGTGGGGTTTAATTCATTAAAAAAGGGTGATTTTCAAATTTTCCGACAATAACTCAAAAATGCTTTGAGCAGTTTTCATGAAACTTTGGTGAATTGTTTATATCTATTGACGAAAACTCCCTTTTGATTTTTATAGATTTTACGCTTCTGAGTTATGGGATTTTATTCATAAAAAAGGGGAGATTTTCCAGTTTTTGGACAATAACTAAAAAGTGCTTTGAGCAGTTTTCATGAAACTTTGATGACTGGTTTATATCTATTAAAATAATCTCCCTTTAGTTTTTTTATAAATTTCTGATATGACATTGAGGAGTTATGGAGTTATGCTAACAGCTTCATGGTGGAAACTGATGAACACAATGTATTGTGTGGAGGGACCTCTGGGGAATAATTAGTGTTGATCTGAAGTTCAATGTTATGGCTTCACCATGTCAATCATTTATACATACACATATACATTTAGTTTTAATCCTTACCTACAAACATACAAAGGGGAGGAACATTTTTAAGTATCACATGAAAATATCTGTCTATTATAGACATCATGTACATGATTGATTGATTGTTTGTGTTTAACGCCACTTTCAGCACTAATGGCTATTTTGTGGCAGTCAGTTGTTATTGGTGGAGAAAGCCGGAGAGAATCACTAACCTTTGGCAGGAGAACTGACTAACTTTGCCAATTCATATTGGTGGTGAGCTCACCTGCCACATGCAGGGTTCAAACTCTCAACCTCTGTGTTGACAGGCTAGTGATACAGTGCTTGAAATACTCAGACCAGTCGGCCACTGAGGCCTCCTCATGTACATGAAGAAGATTTACTAGAATTGAAGATGTTAGCCAATGTCTTGCCTGGAAACAACAGGGACCATCATGACCCTAGTAGTTGACCATTCAGTTGTGGTCACGTCGGCTTAAAAAAGGGTTTTGACCTAAATTTCGCTGTTCACTAAACATTGAAATGTGAAAGTGTGAGCAGTGCACGGTGTCCTATGGAGACATTTTCTTGCTTACATTTGATATACTGTAAATTTTTTGCTGGCATTTATTATTGTGTTGTTGAACAATGGACAAAAATAGGAAATTACTTATTGTGATTTCAGGAAATGCTGCTGACAAATAATGCTATCAAAATTTAAGTCTTTATTTTTGCAAAGCCTGTCCCCTCCCAATTTTTGCAAAAATGAAAACATCACAATACTGTTTGAATTTACTGTAACTTGACTTGGAAGTTAAAGCTTAATGTTATAGTCGCTACCTACTAGTTTACATGATTATATCAGTACCTGGAGACGATAAGATATATTTAGTTCTCCATCTTGTATTAAAAGTACATACGTTCCAGATTCATATTTCAACATCCACAGAATACAAATATCTGTTTGTGGTATTTGCATGAAGTAAACACCTATGATGGGAGGTTGATATATGCAAGTTGTTGTATACACATGTATTAAGCTATATTGTTTTCTGGTGACCTTTCTTTTCTTATGAAATTAAGTTTACTACATGCAACTGAATACATTTTGCACATGTTTATGTGTAAATACAACAATACACCTACATTTTTTGTGTGTTTAGTATTCTGATTTTTTTTCAATTGAACCAACTTTATTTTGCTAAACTTTATAATAAATCTCTTCTGATATTGTGGTCACAAACACACAAATGATTGGTTCCAGTATAAGTAATTTTCAGGAGATTAAAATAATCTTTCTTTTTATTTACCCTATGAGATTTTTCATTTGCTGGCTAGTTACATTTTGAATTCTACTGTAATAAGACTTTTCTTTAAGTAGATGTTATCACCCAAGCATTGATTGAAAATGAAAATTGCACCACAGTTTACCCACTGAAATTTCAAGTGCTCTTTAGTAGGTGTTTCCAATCTATATATGAGGATCTGGATGGAATAATATAATACTGATTACAGAAATTAACAATAATGAACAATGTATAGTGTAAAGAAATATAATTAAAGAAAAGGCTACAAGTAAATCATTTTCATAAGAATTCTACTGAATGAGCGTTATTTAAAGACAAAGAAAAATGCCTTAAAAATTTAAGTATACAGAAATTACGGACCCTGTTCCAGGCCCTTATATATTGCTAGAGAATGAAATAATCTTCCCTTTGAAGAACCTTAAACGGGTGAAATCTGATGCAGTTTTTCTGCAATTATATTTAAATTATCTCTAGGCAGATCGTAAGAAAGTTGTAGGAAAACTACTATAGTACATTTGTAGTAACCGTGGTATTTTAAAGTAGTGATTGTATATTTCATGTTGTCTGGATTATTTCATTCATTTGTGGTTTTAATTTGCGTGTGCTTGTGTTACAGATGACTTGAAAAGTGAATTTAAAGTAGCAAAAGACACATGATCTCGACAGTAATATAAACAGCAAGAACTTTAATTTTTGGAAATGAAAATTTGAATACTCTCAGTAATTGTCAAGGTCATCATGTGTTTCTCATAGGCAGAAAAACATAAAACAGAAAAGGGGCAGAAAAAAAATAGTGTGCAAGAAAAAGTTGCATAATAAGATATAAAATTGGTTATTTAAATGCTTACTTTAAATTTTTTAGTTTGAAAGAGGGGAGGACATGATTGCCCCTTTATGAATATCCTGATGACCATCTGCTTTGTATAACTATTGTAAAAGTACTTGGATTTGTAGATTTCCAATATTATGCCGATTTTGTAGTTTTATCCTAACCACACTTTTCAATAACTTATGAAATGTATTTGTTTCTATTGATTTGTTACCTACAATGTTTGAAACATCTCAATCCATATCATTTTCCACAACTTCAATAATAGGAATCTGCATGCGACAATAGGATATTTTTAGCTCAGGAACTTCTAAAGAGTGCACGCCAGATTCACATTTCTATGTCCACAGATTACAAATAATAGTGCAATGAATATTGTGTTACAATGTGGTCAGTAGACATGACGAAAACACCTACGATTGTAAGGTTTATATATGAAAGTTGTGGTATACACAAAATTGTATTAAGATACATAATTTTCCGATATTCAATATGGTTTTCTAGTGACATTTCTTTTCTTACGAAATAAACTTGATTAAATGGAACTGAGTTCCAAATACATGTGAATATTTGCATGGGCACTCCAGCTTCCTCCACCAAAAAAACACTGGCCACCACAAAATAGTCAATAGTGCTGAAAGTGTTGTTTAACACCCAAGGATCAATCATGTTTATTTGTGGATACAACTTCGACATTTTGTATTCTGTTTTTATTTTAATTGAACCAACTGTTTATTATTTAATATGTTTCTCCTGATATTGTGGTCAGTGATACACCAAAGGGAGGAATAAGATTCCAATATATGTATTTTCATAGAGAATAAACTAATCATGAAATTTTTTACACTATGGCAATGTTAATCATTTAGGTCCAGGTGAGCCTCTTGTTATATATTTCATCAGATTTTTATAAGATGACTTGTATTTAAGTTGTTAAGTTTATTTTATTACTCATGCTGTTTGTTGGTTGAACATAAATATTGCACTCTAACCAACTGAATATTTCCAGTGCTTTGAAGTAGGAGTTTTGAATCTTCATTTTTCCTTGAGGATGAAATAATCTTCCCTTTAAAGAACCTTAAATGGATGAAATATGATGCCGTTTTTCTGCAATTATATTTAAATTATCTTGAGGCAGAACATTAGAAAGTTGTAGGAGAACTTCTGTAGTAACCTTGGTATTTATAGCAGCGACTGTATATTTCAGGTCGTCTGGTTTATTTCATTCATTTGTGGTTTATAATATGTGAATTTATACATGCAAGTGCTTGCGTCACAAATAACCTGAACATTTTATTTTCAAGTTGCAGAATTGAAGACAAATGCATAACTTGTCAGTTGTAAAATAAAGCACCTACTATGAAAAATTAAAGAATGGAAATATTAACTTATAGGGGTATGGGCCTGAAAGTTTTTTTTAACAATAAGATGTAACTTTTAAGGGCCAAGATATATATGATTATCAATTAACTTGCTGAAAGTTTGGAGGGTTCAGTTTTTGTCCTATACCAATGGCCATCTGCCTGAGAAAGGGTCGGACACAGTTACAGTCTCTGTCCATCTGTCTTTCTGTCAGTTAGACTTGGTGAACACTACTCTTAAACTGTTTGTCCAAAAACTTTTTACTTTGTAAGTTTTTTTAGCATCATGTGTAGTTGACCACTCTACTGTCATACTATAAAGCCATGTTGATTCGACAATTTTTGCAAGAGTTATGGGACCTTGACCATTTTTGGCTTAAAGTAGCTTGAAACATTGTAAACGATACTCCACTGTGACTATATATCTTCATACTTTATGAAACTATCATTATGTGTAGTTGTCCATATCACATTTTTACATTTCTAGCAAGAGTAATGAGAGGTGGGAGAGAAAAAAAGATTCTTAAAGTGGGAAGTGGGAGAAGGGTACCCGCCTGTCACCCCCTCATGGATTGAGGAAAAAAAATTGTATATTCATGGATATTGTGATTTCATGGTTTTGCTAAAGTCAGCATACAATCCTATAGATAATTGGCACTTCATTGAACTTCCAAATTCATGGTTAATCTTAACCATCGGAATCCACAGAAATTGGTATCCCACAAATATTATGATTGATTGATTGGTGTTAAATGCCACTTTCAACACTACTGTGCTATTTTGTGGCAGTCAGTTTTTATTGGTGGAGGACGCCGGAGTGCCTGGAGAGAACCACCGACCTTTGGTAGGAAAACTGACAATCCTAGTCAATTAAGATTAGAGTCTAGTGCTCCTGCCCCATGCACCTCAGTGTTGACTGGCTAGTGATACAGTAGTTCAACTACTTAGACCACTCGGCCACCGAGGCCCCCAAATATTATGAATTCACAGTACTATACTGCCAATGATATTTGACAATTTTTCCAAGAGTTATTGGATTATTACATTTTAACCAAATATCATTGACCTACCACAATTTTGTTCCCCTTAAACTGACCTAATCACAAACTAATACATTGTTGAATCTTCCAACAATACCTATGCTGGAAACAGCAGCATTAAGTCTTGCTTTTTCAACTTCGTTAAAGCTGGACAAAAACTTTACCACCAACAATGTGGTGGCTCCAACCTTGTCAAATCTTACCTGGGACCTTTGGGTTTTGGGTGGGCAACCGTGCAACATGACGTCTCATTTAATGGATCTGTAACCTTAAACACAGGTTTTTTGTTAAACATTAACCTAACATTTGCTTATAAGTGACATGGTGACCTGAGGCAATATTTAACACGACATTGTGAACAAAGGAGGTTACCCTACTTGAGCCCCTAAGTGTCTTTATGTCAATGTTCCCAGAAAATCCATGGTAGGAACAATTGATAGAGGAAAGAAATTATATAATTAGATGTGTAATTTACTGTAAACTCGTAAAAGAATCTAGTTTGTCTGGTTATAAAAGAGCAATATATTATTTTCATATGACTGAGTGATTTAGATACAAGAAGTAAAGTCCGATTGATTACCTCTGCTTCCACATTGTTAAAAAAAACAATCCGTGTTCTTTGTAGCATTGGTGTTCTTCAAAGAGAGATATATACTGAGATCAATGAACTACAAAAGTCTCTTATTTCAAAAAATATAATTTTATTCATTCAGGCACAAATACTATTGTGATTACAAGTATAATTGTGCTGTTTGGCGTCTAAACATACAAATTTTACAAAGTTTAAAAGTTAACATGTAAAACATTACAATTTGTGTATTATTATTCAGCGCATTATTCATTTATCTTTTAAAGACTGCATTAACTTCAAAAAAGAAGTTATAACCTGATTATCTCCCTTCTATAGGAGTTTGCTCTCCTTACATACAGGTTGAAAGGAGAATAATTATATTTTTTTTTTTATTCAAATCTTTTATTTTTCAAATAAAAATTTAAGGCATTAGAAATTTGGTCTACAGTGAATTTTTAACTTCAGTTTATTTAAAAAAAATAATAAGCCGTACAATAATGGAGTATCGAACCACACCAGTTATATCTTAAGTTTTCATTTTCAAAGTAAGAATAGTTGGCAAATGATCAGGAGCTGCTTCTTTATTTTATTCTCTTAACCAAGCATTTTAAACCAAAATATGTTGAGCGATTCAAAAGCTTTTTCTATATATTGTAGAAAGTTTTTAAAACAATCTTTATAATGCAATAAATGGGCAAAATTTAAGAAAATTTGTTGGAAAAAAGGTAAATAAAATTTAAAAGAATTAAACTGGTGTGGCTAGAAACTATGTTGACCTCTTGTACAAAAAATTTCTAACTACAGTATTTTAAATATAACTTAATCAATAAAATTCAACATGAAACGATATTCCTAAAGACCACTGTTGATTCCTCCTTTATCTTGGAGTACCAATTTTCATAGATTTCAAGGGATATAAGAAGGATAAAAAAAAACCTAAATATGTACACTTTTGGCCTATTTGTTTTTTTTGCTTGCAAACTGTCCAACATTTTATCTTTAAAATTTTTACTGTGAATATTCCTAATAAGGGTTAGTATAAAATCAGAAATAAATGCAATGGTTTATTAATATGAAAAATATGAAGGGATGAATACATGTATAGCAAATTGAAAATATTTAGCCTTTATTGAACACTTTAAATTATGAATTTCCAGTACCATAATTGCTAAAAGTACCTTGAATGCAACAAATTTCATGTTTGTGTTTTTATTTGTTACTGAGAAATGGCTTAAACATCAAAATAAGGATCTTCAAAATACTTTTGAAAGTAGTTTTTTGTTGTTGATTAAAAATTAAATAAAAAAGTGAATTCATTGTTCATGATCATCACAAATTCTAATACCAAATGAAATCCATTTTCCCACAATCCTGTTCAATAAAACATGCAAAGTCTTAAACCATTGATTTAAAAAATTTTCCACAAACCACAAAAACTCAAATCCATGAAAAGAACTAATTTCTCATTATCCTCACCCATCTATGAAAATTGTTACTTATGTAAAGTTAAGATAGTTTTCAATGTGACATAATTTGAGTTTTGAGTTATTTTCCTTGGCTGCCATGTTGGAGGGCAAACTGGTTGATTTTCTTATTTGACTAACTAAATTAAAACATTTCATACAACCAAGTCTGATAAGTGCTCCTTACTAGATCATAGGAATAAATTATAAAAGACTGAAAAAGAGAGGGGGAGGATACCAAAGGGACATTCAAACCCACAAGTTGAAAACAAACTGAAAAAGCCACGGCCAAAAAAGAAAAAGAGAAACAGACAAACCACAGTATACAAAACACAACATAAAATTAAAAATTGTGCAGAAAACAACTTTTTCTAAGTCTAGCAGTCAGAAATACAAGATAAATTTGGTTTACTTATGAAAGATTTTGTACACATTGACCTCCAACATGGGGAGGAGGAGGGGGGCAAAGGGAAATAGCTCTATATCTCAAATTATGTTAATCAAAAGCTATCAATAGAATTCACAGTATCACCGTCATGAACTGAATGTTTTGAACTTGATGATTTTCATGTATGCAACATGTGCACATCACCAGAATAAGAGGGACAACAAGATATCTGGTAAACACTGTCAATTAAAGAATCATTCAACAGTACTTTGATAGCAGATAACATATACTTTTATACAATATATCAAACAAACTCAGCCCTTATTTGTCTGGAAATACCTGCTAGTTTCTTCTAACCTCACAGAGTTGTCAGATTTTTGTCCAAATGAAAGAAAAAGTTATTTATTTTTCTGAAGAGATATGACTTTGACTTGTTTAACACAATATATTCTGTCAATGTTTTGTCATACATCGAATTCATCAATTTCAAGCCATGTTTATTCTAAACTGTGAGTATATTCACTTTAAAAGGCAGTGTGCCACGACACAAAAATTTATACAAAACTACTAAATTAATTTAATTCATTAATTGTATTAAGATAATTCAAGATTGACACCAAAATATGCACATTAAATAGTTTATAAACACACAAATTCAATAATTATGTACAAAGGAATATTACTGTCACAAAATTTCGTCTTTTTTAACTCCCTGGGGACGTTCATCACCGGTAAAAACATATGATATAGTTCTTGTTAGCACCGATATTAAAAAACATATAAATGTGCTTTTGAAAACAAGTAAGAAAGTCTAATATGGTAAAATTTGTGCATGTAGTGTACATTAAAACGGGAAAACACCTACTGAATCTATCCCGTAAAAAAGAAAAAAATGTGTTAAAGGTAAAATTACAGTCAACTTTGTATCAAAATAAGGTCTTCTTATTCCTAGTTCTCAGGAGAGCTCCACCTAACATCAAATCCTGGATTGGTACCTGTGCAAGTAATTAGCACCGATTCTTCTAAATGTTCATTGAGCTTAGGAACCATAGAGCTTATTGTCTGAATCTTACAATACATATGCACATTTCACAAAACAACTATGGGCTAAATAGGCTATGGTTCTACAACTTAATTCCCGTCATACTTTTCACTCCTAGGCCCTTCAAAAAAAGTTTTTCAATCTCAGACCTCCCCAAAATATTTATAGGCTATTAAACTTGGAATATTTTATACAAAAATTTATCAATACTATAACCTCTTGCACATTGTGAAGAGATTTATCAAATAGAGATAAACAAAAATAATAGAAAATGAGAACTGATTTTTATGGTCTCAATATAATACACAATTCTAATCTGTCCACTTGAGCTTGTTTTAAATAATGCACCATATAATTCTTTCAAAAACTTACAACAAAACAATAAAATATCTGGAATGTTTAGCACAAAAATAACAAGCTAAATATAATTGAATTTACATGCCAGGAATAGTTGTTCAACACCAATTTTTAACCGATAATTTCTTGGTCAACTATGACATAACACAAACTATGGCTATACATCAGCAGTTGTAAAATTCAAAAAAGAAAATCTTTGCATTACTATTGTCAGTCAATAATATGTTGAATAATCCCTTTTTATTGTAAATTGAAAGAGTTATCTCCCATCCTAAAAAAGTAAATTGCAAGAGTTATTTCCCATCCTAAAAAAGTAAATTGGAAGAGTTATCTCCCATCCTAGAAAGCATCACACACATAGTCGGTCATAGTCTATTTTCTAATGAAGAAACTACATCTGTTAATCACAGACTCATGTTTTATTTTAGACAATCATCTAGTAAAAAGATCTTTTGAAAGCAAATTGTTGTATAGAAAATGTTACAAGAGGGTCTGGATGGGGAGGGGCTTTCATTTCTGTAGTCTTCAATAGTTTTTTGTCATTTTTCTCTATTCTTTATATTTTTTGCCTATTTTTTGCATATTATTCTCTATTCTTTATAATTTAGCACCCTACTATTCTCTACTCTTTATTTTTTTGGCCTATTTTTCATTATTCTTACATTTTTTCCCTTTATTCTGTACTTTTTACCCATTAATCTCTATTCTGTAAATCCCATCTAGATCCTTAAAAATATACTTAGGATGCAAAAGGAAATAAAAATCTCTTGCCATTAATGATTAAAAATGTTTCATGAAAGGGGGAATGTAGTGATGTAAAAAGAGTCAGGAGGACAGTTTTCTTAATCACTTTTTTAATAGATTTCTAATTTACTGCTTACATTCCAGTATGTTTATCATACAATCAATTGAAAGCAACCAATGAAATATTCAAGCACAAGAAATGACATATTTTGCAACAAACGAAACATTAAAACATTATAAAAAGGATTAGAAAAATAAACTCAACAATATTCTTACAAAGGTGTAAATCAAAATACCAAAAATAACATAAAATAAAACCTGGTATACAATATATTATGATACAGGTTTTAAACAGATTAAATTCTGATATGTTTTTAGAATTCTTTGTAATCATGAACATGAACCTAAATATACATCTCAGATTAATGAAATAATGCAATATGACCAACACGGCCACTAATAAAACAAATAACAACAAAATTGACTAGAATGTTTAAATAAACTGTTAACACAGAGATATGTCTCGCCTTTTTATTATTTTGATAATGCAAATGTTGAAATTAAAATTGTAATACTTTAACATGTAAGTTATGCCAATATTCAAAGTCAATGAACCATGACTGAAGGTGCATGGCTAAACAATCTCCATGGAAAATGAGATGTGCCAATGCTTATACAACTGCTTCCAGGTGAGACAAAAACCAATGCTATCATCATGCATCCTTATTTAGACAAATAATGCTGAACTATCTTTTAAATAATAATAAGATGTCCAAATTAATGATGTGAGCATAGTTTTTAAAAAAACAAAACAATATAAAAGAAAAGAAATAATCAAACATATACCAATGATAAAATAAAATGTTTTAAGAATAACAGAAAGAACAACAAAAAATATTGAAGTTATAAATGGTAATATTCCAATAGGATAATTTTATTTTAATTTTACAATTTTATGACATTAGTTGAAAATGCAAATCTTTCTAGAATATTTCAAAAAACAAAAAATATGATATTGAAAATAAAGAAAGAATAAAATCAGCCTCATAATATAAATATTTTGACATAAAATTCTACAAGTTTTTACATGGTATTTGAAATTTTATTTTCCCAATCATATAAGGTTTTATAAGGTCAAGGTTCATTACAGAATTAAAAAAACGAATATGAAACAATATCCTGTCTTTAAAAAAATGTCAGGTTATCTGATATTGGTTAATGAGCAAAACACATGAAGAAAATAAATATTTCTAAACAAAAAAATTATTCTAAACAAATATGAAATTTCATACCATGAAATTATATACAAAATATGAAAATTTGATGATAATATTGTCTCAAATCTTTTAATATTTGTAACGCATAAAAATTCAAGATTTTCTTATTTTACAAGAAATATACCTGTGGGAGGGTTCATATTTTTTTCAATTTGACATCATGTTTTAGGTAAATTATCAAAAGTTTAGAAAAAAAAGGTGACATAAATATAAAAATATGATGAATTTTCACCCCTTAATTGTAAAAATATGTTTTATGCAGCATTCTTGAAGTGGAATGTAAAATAACTGCAATTGAACAAAAAGTCTATAAGCATATAAAAACTCAATTTAAAAATGTAATTATTTACTAATGTTACAAATGATTTTCATCTGTTAACCAGTTTTCTTGCAAGTGGTCCATTCCATTTTGATTTTATTGAGATCGTTTAAAATACCATCCAATGTAACCATAAAATTTTCGCAAAATTTCTTGATAAAATTTTCACAAAATGAATGATTTTAAAGAAATTGGTTAAAACATGAAAGATTTATGCTATAAGTAGGATCACCATTTCTACAAACCAAAATCTACATGCACTGAACTCTTCTATAAGGACTCTTTAGTATTTTAAACTTTATTATAGGTGGACTAATAGCTTTAGATTCTATTCTACCATGTCTTCCTGTACTATGTTGAGGAAAATATCTCATTAAAATCAGTTTTTCAATAGATTTAGTTAAGAATTACAAATTCTCAATGTTTTCAACTATAATTACATCACATGTAAATTAATTCTCAATAGAGATTTACAGTACAAAGGTCACAGAAAATTATGCTAAAGCAATTTTTAAAGACTTTTGACAAATTCTAAGCATATATTAAAAATTGATACTAAATTTTTATATTATGGTCTCTATACAAATGTAATGTTATGCTAAAAGTAACAAAATAAAAGTCTTTTAAGCCTCAAGGCCTTGAATTACGAGGCCTAAATATACTCTTTCACTTAATGAAAAAAAATCGTTTTTACAGAACATCAAAGCCAGGCCATAAATTGTATAACTTTACAAAAGTACCCAGTGCCATTTCACATTACTCTAATAATATATCTTCTAAGTCATTAAGGTCATCCACAAAGATCTGACCTTATGAATAATAACAAATAAATCAACAAATTTTTTACAGTTATCAGCCATACATACATGTAAGTGTAAAGCCAACACACATAAATACATGTAAGTGTGAAGCCAACATTCATAAATATATGTAAATGTGAAGCCAACACATATATAAATACATGTAAGTGTGAAACCAACACACATAAAAACATGTAAGTCTGAAGTCAAACCACATAAATACATGTTAGTGTGAAGCCAACACACATAAAACATGTAAGTGTGAAACCAACCCACATAAAAACATGCAAGTGTGAAGCCAACCCACATAAATACATGAAAGTGTGAAGCCAACACACATAAATACATGGAAGTGTGAAGCCAACACACATAAACTAAGTAAGTGTGAGGCCAACACACAATACATGTAAGTGTGAAGCCAACACACATAAAACATATAAGTGTGAAGCCAACACACATAAAAACATATAAGTGTGAAGCCAACCCACATACATACTGATGTTTCACTTTCCTTATTTCATTCTTTTAAGATAAAAATTGTTTTTCCAAAATATCATTCAAATTATTTGAGTTATTACATATTAAATAAATGAATGACTTTTAAAACAAGCATAATGCCTACATTTGGCTTTAGACCCAAGTTTTGGAAGTCAATTTCATAAATAACTGAAAGTGTTTACTTTAAAGATAAAAATATTGTTTCCACAGAAAAAATACCGAAAATAAAACACATATATTTGTACCTATGCCTGACAACTGTTTATTTCTCATAATTATTTGCGTACAATGTCAAAAGGCTTGCTATAACCAATGGATCTTGTCTTATTAATACTTATATAACAAATTTTTGATAAAAAATAAATTATTCTTCTCTATTTGAGCTCTGTATTTACAAAATGTACAAATGGCGGTGTTTCAATGGAAACATTCTACGAGGGTCATTCACTGCCACTGGTCTCAGCGGGACTGGAACGCGAACTTCTACGACTTGTCTGAAAGTAAAAAGAAAAATTCTATATTTTCAATTGGCTTATTGTAAATGAACAAATTATATAAGCATAAGACAATAGAACATACATTTCAGTACAACCAATACAGTATATTTAAGAAGAACTGTCTGATGACCTCTTTTTTGGTTAAAATTTCAAACCACATGCTTCAAAATTCATTAAACTTCTGAAACCTCTGTAATGTTCAAAATCTCACTCCTTTCCTTCAAAAAAAAAAAAAAAGAAAAAAAATACTAATTGAAAATCATCATGTTAAGTGTGAGAACTCTACATACAATGAATTGAACAGAAGAAAGTTATCACCCAATATCAATTTGGAAAATTCTTTTCTACTGTAACATAATTTGTTTCATAAACCAGAACTAGTTGTTAATTTTCACCATTTGAGCTAAAGATTTACTGGTACATACAGATAATTTCTTGTTGTAAACAGCAGTTCAACACAACTAACGATTTATTAAATATAATATTCTTACGAAATAAATGTACACACAGAAGGTAAACAAACAAACAACATTAAAGGAAGGAACGACAAAAAACTGCAGACAAAACAAACGTGTAACATAAAAGCTATGGTACTATGGTTTTGTTTAATGAAGTTGTGGTTTGGTTTGGAGATATTCCAAGATAAACTGTACAAGTCGGTTAACCACTTTTCCCATTTCAGGTTAGACTATGTTAGCACTTTTTGTGAAAATGCTTACTAGACAGAATATTTAGTCTGTGCACTTTTTAAGATGAACTTTATATATTATTCTTTGTCATATATTAAAAACACAATCATGCAAAGTTCATTTAGTAAAATTGAAACAAGCAATTGAGAATATTTATATAATTTCTTTGAAAAAAAACTTAAGGCAATCAAAAATACAGAGATGCTTGATTTGTCCCTCTTTCGTCTACAGTTTATGAGTAATTCTTATACCTACCACATTTAAAGAGGATCAGAAAATCCTGGGACACCTGATTATAAACCACAGCCCACCCATACTTTAAAACCAGAACAGAGAAAGGGGTTGAATTATTATACAATCTGGACACTTAAACACTTATGTAAATAGCCATCTACAGTTTTATAAATTTAAATTCGGCATGGTTAACTTATGCCATAAAAGCTGATTATAGACTAGAGATATTAGAAGTGTGGAAAAGTGACTCCAGTTATCTATATCAACTGTTTCGGGACTTTTATATGTAGAATTGGCTGACCACAAGCTAATAAAAGATAATTGTATGTTTTCAGGTATATAACAATAAAAATGTATACTTTAAAGTGACAACATTTTTTACCTTACAGATACTAAAAAAGTTTTTAAATCTACAATTTAGTATTGAAAGGCTAAAGATAATATAAAATAATTTTTTTTTTTATCTGATTCCAAAAATTCATAGTAATAAATAATAAAAAAATTATCTGATCTTTTTGCCTTTTTTAAAATTTGAAATTCAGCTTTCAGATTTTTTTTCTTCTTCTAGCTATAAGCATGAAGTTTCATTCCATGAAAAATTTCTGTAAGTTATAAGAACTGATAAATAAGACAGTTGATTTAACAGAAAAAAGGAATATGTACTTCTATTCAATATTAGTGTGTCAATGAGACAAGCTTCAAATCTTCCTCAGTTCAATAATTCAAATTTTTATTTATCACTCCAAGGTTATATTCATAGTAAATACGGTATTTTAAATTCATCTTATAAAGGAATACTTGTAATATTTGTGGTTTTCAGTGTAAACTTGAAGCCATTGTACAACATCTCAAGGCACTACATAACTCTTTCAATTTCAATTTATTTATATGTTGAATTTATATCAAATATAATGGTCAATTTCATACTTATTATCTATTAAAAATAATCAAGGGTGATTCATTTTACTTTGTACTTAAATAATATGCTGATTTTCCTGTCTATAAATTTCAACGAAATAGACAAATAAAAATTCATTATATAGACTGTAGTAGAATATTTAGTGGAAAACAATGGCGGTATTTGAACGGTATTTTTTTAATAAAATTTTTTAAAAAAATATCAAGCAGGGACATAAATATAATGAAAGATTTTCTTAAGACTTTGTTGTATGCATGCTGAATTTCCACAAAAATGTCAGACACTGCTGAAAATAGCCCAAGATACTTTGCACTATTGTATATAGCATTGAATATATATCCTTAATCCATATTTCACACAACACTTTTCAAAATGAGAAAACACCATATTTAAATTTTCTTTTCTTCCTTTGTTATAAAATTTTTACACATCAACAATTTTTATTACAAATATTTATACCTGCCAAAATGCAATATATAGATTACCGGTAATAATGAATTTTACCTATAAAGACGGAGCGTTGTGCAAAATTGCAAGTAATCATCATTTGGAGCAGTTTATATTTCAAATGTAATCATGTTATAAATATAAACAAAATTTGACTATAAATTTTAAAAAAGGTTGTAAAATTAGAAACCAGGAAATGGCTTCAAATCGTAAAACTATAAAACATGACAAAATTACAGGGTATGATAAATTATATATGATTTCGGTACTAGGTACGATTCACGATGTCAATCGGTACATCCCCGATTCCTTTGACATCTTACTAATTTAAGGAGCTAAAGTGATTATTATGTCCTCAGGAGAATAAGGACTGTTGACTGTGTCAACTTTCTTTTAATATGTTTACTGGGTGATAGTAGAACTATACAATCTGACTGAATATTAATGAAAAGTTCAAATAAATCAAACATTAGTCATTGTTAACAACTACAATGTATCAAAAATTTAAAATTTTTCAAATTACTTTATTTCCGTTTTAAAATATGTTAAAGCTGAGTTTTACAAAATAAAACATTTTTCAAATTAATTAAATATTTCTAAAAATTCTTAGAGTGATCATTTATTTATAACAACAATTAGGAAAATCATTGCAAAATAGATATCTAAATAAAACCATTATCTTCAAATGAGCTAAATACCAGTGTACCTGTAAATTCTAAGTGCAAATGTACTAAACTTCTATTTCAAGATTTAAATAAGGCAAAACATACTGATTAACATTTCCAACAAATATATTATAAAAAAACATCATTGATAAAAACTAAAATCCTACACATTACTTAGCTTAAACAATAAGTACCTCCTACACAAGATCACACCTAGGATTTATTTTTTTATTATTCTATAAAATCTTCCCTTTATTCTTTTCATACTGCATTTACATGCATCAGATATGCTGAAAAGAATTTTAATAATTGGTATTTTACAATTGCAAACAGTGTGACAACCTAATTTGTGGGGGTGAGAACCTTAAATATGACTGAATAAATTCTGGTCAATGTCATTTATGACAGGTAAAGGTTTTGAAAATATTTAAAACTCAAGGTTGATAAAATGTGTTCAAAATTTATTTATCTTGTTGACTCTTTGAATACATGTGTAATTTTACACACTATTGTAAACTCCAATTTGATAATTTGTCTTCATAAAAATAATTATTAACACAATTTGCAAACAAGAAAAATCCATAGTTTTTAAATATTTTTTTATGAACCTTATTTTTTTTTTATTGCAGATTAAAAAAAAACTGCATCATTTAAATGAATTAATGTGAAATTTAGAATATTTCTCAACCAAAGAGAAATCTAAACTATGTAATGTCACATTAAAAGCATAGAATAATTAAAACTTTGTTTGAGAAAGACATCAAAGCTGGGACCTAGATCAAAGTCATACAGAAATTTTGCAAAAGAAAGTAACAAATCCTTCAGTGAAAAGTGTTAACCAAAATTTCTCAAGAAATTCGATTAAAAAAAAATCTGAATCCTCAAATGAACTAAAGCTATTGGATTGGCTAGGCCTTCTTCTTGTTCACTTTGAGAAACAACAAAATGTTTTCAGATAACATGATAGATGTATTTCGCCTTAAACCATAACCTTAAATTATAAGTTGAATTGCACACACAAAAGTAATTCCTTGTTTTGGAATAAAATGCGTTCTTGGTATATTTTCAAAAGTGTATATCAAAACACTGATTTACAATGTCTGTAAGAATGGATATTCAACAACTGCATAGCATTTTTTGTGGTGTACAAACAATAAAATAATCCACCATCCCTCAAAAATTGCTTTACCATTTGTGGAATAAAAATAATATTATGGTTTTGGAAAGTAACTTTCTTCAATTTTTTAGTAAGCCTTTTTCATATTCAAATGTCAAATTTTGAAAAAGCCATATCAACTATTGTAAAATTATTAGTACATTTATAGTAAATAAATGTACATTTACCTGGCATGGCCTAACTTTGGCCTATTTCTAATAATTATATAACAACTGTACAGATGCATGGTTCATGATTTTTATCTAATAAAAACTTTGAAGTTGCTATTTCAAAGCAGTTTTCTCATTTTTGCTTCAATTAAAAATCATTTGACTAATAGCCATTTCTGATGTTTTTGTGAATGATAAAGATCACAGATTCAAAGTGATATCTTTATTATTTCCATGCAAATTCATTAATGATTTTCTTTTATTTCTTTTATACAGGTCTATCAAATGTTTGTATTGCACAAAAACACCAAAGATATACAATCTTAGGAATTAAATGCAAACCTTTCAAGCAAAAATAATTCACACGTAATGACGCTGTAGCTGAGAAAATAGAGAATAACATATCTGTGATACCTACGAAATAGATGCAAAGCGAAACATTTTCAAAAACATAAAGATTTGAAATTATGCCCGATATATTTGGGGACCAGTCCCTAATGAATGCATGAAAAGTGGTCTTTTTTACTTTTAAAGTAAACTATTTATAAATATAACGTGATCTGTCATTTTTTGTATAAGAACTTATATCAGATGCATGTGTCTTTAAGATACATTGAAACTGAACTTTCCTGAACACAGGAAATGCAATTCAGCCAGGGGAAAAGAACAAATTAAGACATACTGCAATTAACTTAATTCTAACATCTCATTGATGGGTCAATTCTTCATAACAGTGGTCAGTGTTCATTCATTCAAATTGCATGACAAAGATACAAATAAAAGAATAAATTTGGACTTCTGATAAATATTAATAAATATAAATATTCTAGATAATTTGCAAATCTTTAAGAAAAAAGAAAGAAGTCATATTAAAACATTTTCTAAGTATGCAGTAGACAGGTTACACTTAGCGTGTGTCAATTTCAAAAGGTTGCTAATCATCTAGAAGACCTTCAACAACTATTCACTCCCTGATTTTCAAAAGGGCGGACAAAGCCATTGTTGGACAGACGTTGACAATTTCGAAAAATAATGATACAAAAGTTACAATAGTAATTGACCATTTTCTTTATTTGCTATAGATTTATAATTTTTTATGGGATGTAACTCCAAGCAAGTGTAAAATTGGATTTCCTGACTGTCCGTAAAGATCACACCATGGCTAATCCTCCGCGATGGACAAGTCACATGGTCCTTTCTTCGCATTGTAAATGAAGAGTAAAAGAATGGAATAATTTGAATGATGGACATGATTGGCTTTAATTGTCAATGTGTTTCATTTAATATTGTAGCAATAAGATGTTTTTTCGGACCAGATGTAATCTCTAAACAAAAGTTCGACCAGTTGCCCCTCGTTGAATAAGCCGTAAAAAGCATCTTTCTTCATTTGTGTGGACAATACTGGGGCCATTGGCCAATTGTAAAGTAATACAAGGAATAAATATAAATCACTGGTTACAAAGAAAATTGCTGAAAGTGAGACATAAAACAAACAAAAAAACTCAAATATTATCTAAACATTGAACAATTCAAAACAATCATTTGTTTGCAATTCTTTCCAAAACTGTCAAAGTTTCCATAAATGTAAAAGATTTGTCTTAAAATACAATGAATCTATAGTCCAGGATTAGAAATTGTTAGAATAAAGATTAAATAAAATGACAAACAGCCCAAGTGCTTGCTACACAACATGTGATAATCTACAATAATATTTACATAGTCGTATCTTATAAAACTTATACACATCTTTCGATGTGACAGACAATTTATCAAAAGATGTCCCTTAAGCATATATGGCGTGTGAAATATCAACTCTTAACTGCACAATCCTTTTATATAGAAAAGATATTTATTACTGTCAATAAAATGTTAAAGAAAAAAAAAAATAGTACCAGTACACAAAAAGCAACCAATCCTAAAGATACCATCTTTGGTCCTGCATGAATGGTATTACTAGTAACAGCCCTTTTTACTTGACTGATCTAGGATAAATGATATCCTTTATCAGTATTTATAGGTGTATTAGACTACCAAATCTATCCTTTAAACATCTTTTTACATTTATACATTGATTAAACATAAATTTGAACACAGAGACAGGTGTTGGTGCTAAGGGTCAATTTTAAACCCAAGGTCATTTCCTTATTAAGAATAAAGTGGAAATTCATACTTGACAATTTTGAAAGACAATTTTATTTTTTAAATCCTTCAACTATATTTCTCATGCTGAAGAGATGTAAATTAAAAGAGGATATCTGTAATAGTGAATAAACATCATTTACAAGAGCCCTAATTATTGCATACATATACTATGAACAAACTCCAGTTAGAAATTTGAAATCTTCAATTAAGTCAACTGTCCAAACTTACTGTTTGTTCAAAGACAACCAAATATTAAGCAACTTGTAATCAACCAATCAAACAATATTAAACCTTAAAAAAATTGCCAATTTTTTTTTCCGAACACCTAATTTTGTCCTGATGGATAGTAATAGGATCAGAAACCTGAAACGTAACACTTCATAATTTCTATGAAATCATTGTTTTCTGCAAAAACTTATGGACACAATTATTACTGCAGAAAAGTATATGAATATGTATATACCCCCCTCCCCCCATTACCAATCACCACTGATCCCTCTGACCTTTATATGTTTTTAATATGCAATATTTATCAAAATATGACATCTGCAATATAAAATATACTAATAATATTATGTCAATCATTAAAATGCAAAATTTTTTTGAAATCAATTTCATTTATTGATTTATTAATTGTTGGGCTGATACCTTTGCAGTACAATCTAAACTTGAAAAGAAAAAAGAATTATTAAACACCTGAGTTTAATATGAGCCGATCCTAACTATCGATAGATCCCACCTGATTGCTACCTGAGAGTCAAGGTAACTTATTTAATTTGTACTTTTCTGTTACTTGACTGACTTCTTTCCTATTTAATATTGCACTAACAGAAGGTTTTGTGGTTTGATGTGTGTAAATGCATATCAAACAACGAAGATATGGTTCATAACACCGTTGTTAACTGTTTATCCTGTTCTTAAGTCAACATTTTGACATTTTGTGGTAAATGGTCAATTATCTGTGATGATTTATCTGTGCAATGGAAAATACTTAAGTACTTAAATATTATGGTTTTAAATATTCATTGCATGCAAATTAATGCCATAATTAAGATTATGATCAAGATTTAGATTCTTAAATAAAAAAAAACAAGATTTAAAAAAAAAAATACACATAAGCATACAGGAATCAAATTTAAAAGATTTAATTAAAGTTTAATTGAAGACGATTCCGTGTAGAATACCATCAAAACCAATGAACTGATGATGTTACATAAGAATGAAAGAATTTTATCATATCATGTCAAAAGAAGGCTAGAACTAAGAGCATATTCTATTCCAATTGTGCAGCAGGCTCATTTAAAAGTTTTATGTTATAGACAGTATAGTAGCAGTGATTTATTATCATGTTACAGCTACTGTAATCCATGATGATTTTTTTTGTCATGCAAGGGATCTTTAACTGTGCTTTCTTATATAGTGTTCCACATTATATTTTATTATTGAATATTGGACAACCATGTACACATAAAAGCTGCAAGTCATTGCATTGAGGGTACATGAATGAACTGTTACCCATTGCTCTAGGATACATAAACAAACTGTTACCCTTTGCTCTAGGATACATAAACAAACTGTTACCCTTTGCTCTATGATACATAAACAAACTGTTACCCATTGCTCTAAGATATATGAACAAACTGTTACCCATTGCTCTAGGATACATGAACGAACTGTATCCCATTTCTCTAGATTACATGAACAAACTGTTACCCATTGCTCTAAGATACATGAACAAACTGTTAACCATTGTTCTAGAATACATGAACAAACTGTTACCATTTGTTCTAGGATGTATGAACCAACTGTTACCCATTGCTCTAGAATACATGAACAAACTGTTTTACCCTTTGCTCTAGGATATATGAACAAACTGTTATCCACTGCTCTGGAATAAATGCACAAACTGCTCTAGGGTACACAATGAATGGCTCTTCATAATTACATGACTGTATGTCTTTTAGTTTATTAGAACTGACTGTAGACTTGCACATGCATAGACAAGGACGTGGACAATAGGAGTTCTCCAATAATCCATCAAAACATTGTTATGGCTTATTTAATAACTGTAGGTCACTGACCATCTGAGAAATGTATTAGAATGTATTATTTAACCTCAGTCAATGAAGCTGGAAATATAGGTAAGAGACCTAATTTTGGTTGGAGGCTGTTATATTCTCAGCTGCATAATCATTACACCAAGTTAAATGATTTAGGTCACTTATTAGAACAGAACTAAATATGGACATAAACATAGGTCATAGTGAGCTACTTTAGGTGGGAGGCTGTTATGCTCCCCTAGTTGCTGCCTCAAAACCACTCATACAAGTGTAAGTCACATTGCTCCTTACAACCCAACCCTGACTTTTAAAAATTTCAAAGACCAAATTATGTGACTTTATGCCAAAAAACATAAAAGAAAACTTTAATTTGATGGAAAACAACCATGCAAACTTGGATGTTAAACTTGACCAAAACCAATAGAAACAATGAAATATCATTTATAAATATTTTTCATCTGTAATATGGTGGATTGATTGATGGCTGCTTAAAATCCAGCAGCAAATATTACATATCAATGTCAAACAATATACCCTACTTTGTACTAGACCAACATGCTGAGTCTATTTTGATATGCTAGCTCATAAGGTAACAGGAAGACATGTCGCCTTACAATACTTTTGTGACTTGCAATTGCTATCTGGATTGTAGCACATTGCACCTTAGACAGTTCTTTTGGAATTTTAGAAAAGCTTAAGAAAATTCAAGAAGTACCATAATTTGGATTTCATCATAAAAAATGTCAAACAGCTTTCAGGAAGAAGTAACATGTAGCCACTATAAATCAAGGCTAACAAAAAGTCACTAGGTTTCCAAACTTGCAACATTAAATTATCATGACCAAACCTCCAGTAAACAGTTTCCATTATGAAGTTTATCAATTTATTTCCAATCGATTACAATATATATAAAACTGGTTGACACTATCTTTTGTTATTTTTATTAGAAATTATGCAATTTTAGGGGCCTTCATCTGTGCATAATTGACTCCAGAAGTAAACCTCTGTGAGTAGAATCACTTGGTACAAATAGTTCACACCCTTGATATCATCCTTTTTAAAATAAGTTTCGAACCAATAATGAAAAGTGATGGTTTTTTTTTTCAACTCTCATATCTTCACAGATCTTATGACCATAATTCCTAATATTCTGTTAGCTTTGTTAGAACATATTGACCAAAGTACATTTTCAGTTATAAGTATAGCATAATATCTGTCAAAGGACAACATATTAAAACTAAATATAGTGGTAAAAATAAACGTTCAATCAACATTTGAATGGAGAAAATTTAATCCATCATTTAATAATAGTTTTCAGCGTATGTTTTGCAATAAAAATAATTAAAAAGGAAACTTTTCTTTTGTAATAACAGACTGTCATACTGAATTCTTTAAAATCCTTTTTGAATGACAGAAATTGAAGAAACAATATTTTTATTATTCCAAATGTTACAAAAAGTTGCTATTGTATTCTATACAATTGAAAAAATGGTTATTTTTCATACTTTTGAGTACTTTCACAACTGAGATGAAAGAAACACGTGGATATAATTATATAGGGAAAATGTGAAAGAATAAGTCACTAATACAATCTGTTATCCTGATACGCCTTAATGTTCTTATACCATACATGAAATACAATAAACCAGCGCTTTGCTAAATTTCAATGACGATTAAATCAAAACGTCAAAAAGCCAACATCGTGTCTTGTAACATAAAAGGCACTATTTTATCTATTTTCTTTAGGAAATCATGAATTACTATAATATATGCTAATATTAACATGATTCCATTATGCATGCTTAAAATTTCATACCTGCCTTACGGCTTACTCTGATAAACATTTAACCTTGCTCACAATAGCATAAAAAAATTTCTTCTGCATCACAATACTAAATAACCTTTCCTCTGAAAACTATTAGAACCCTTAGAGTAATAAACTGCATTGATGTTGGCTAATTAAAGGAAAGCTTGACACCCATTTCAATTTTAAATCTTTCTATCCGTCCATAAAATTAAATAGTATTACAGAATTCAATACATTATTTGTCATGACAGGTGACTAAAACATTATCAAGCAAATAAAAAAAGCAATACCGGTACGTTCAAATCTCTGCCTATATACTTTACATTTGATCGGAGTGTGCCTGTCACACGCCATTACAAGAGACCTGGTATTACATCTACACCATAAAAATCTATGTTACGCCTATAAAGACACAGTGCGGGCAATTTTTTGTAGTCTTCAAACAATGATAATGGGCTAATGTTTTGAGAGGACACCCTCGGGTGATCTGGTCATGTATTGATGAGATTTTATAGTTATTTTGTGTTCTGGACATAGTGTAGTCCTTTTGTCGTTTTTTTCATATTGAGTCAACAAAAGCTATACATTAATGGAAAAATTAAAGGCGATATAAAAAAAAGTTTAATGCTCATATTTTTATTGCGGATTGACATTGTGCCATCTCTATTTTTGATAACATGATAATTTTTAATTGGCTTTTTAGCACATCTCTCAGTTTACTGTTTTTACAAATGGCTTCAATTCTTATCATAATAGGCGACCGTTATAACTTCTATTATTACACGTAACGTGATATTCTGTTGTGTATCAAACATATGAATTATAAACATTAGCCAACCTGTTTCAATATTTTTTACAATTTTTTTTTGTCCTTTCTGTCACATTTCCAGACATTTTTTTCACCTTCTTGAAATACCAAACTATGATGTATGCTTAAAGAAATTGCAAATATTTATTGAATTTAAATTTTAATGTGGTTTTTATGAAGAAAAAAAAAAACAAACATGTTAATCAATATAAAATAATTTGTACAATGCATTCTTTATTTTTTTTTAAGGGGTTCATTTTTAGTTCTAAAAATAACCTGAACATGTGAACTGATGAACTTTTTTATTCAACTTGTTTACCAGTTATATTTCTTGTGTTTTAGTCATGAGAAAGAAAAATAAATTTCAGTTTTCATGGAAATAGGTAGAAATACAACATGCAAGTCTTAAAAACTAATTTTCATCTTCAATGTGTTAACTACACAACTCCCCTCTTTTATCTGTCAATAATGAATATGAGGACAAGATACCATAAATAGTGAATGCTGGACTGACCCAAAGCAAATGCTACAAGAAAACTCTCGATGTAATGTGATTTAACTGCTGACCTTCTGATATGCATTGGAAAGTCATACTGCAGTTTTGTTATACATGCTGCGGTCATCTAAAGTTTGACCAGTGGTTATATGGTTGATTGATTGTTGTTTGTCTAACATCAAGACCATTTAGCCACAGAGGATCAAATGCACATCAGTTTTTACAAATTTCAAAGCTAACTTTTTCCAATCCTCATTGAAAAAAAGATTTAAACCAGAATTTTATATTTTTTACCTTGTTGTCAAATACAAAAACATAAATTTCACTTAAGATTTTATTTTGAAATACTCTTTTAAAAATATAAGGAAATTTTCACCTGACTTTCAATAATATAACACAAATTATTTCAAAATATTAGTAAAAATCAAAATACTTCTTTGAATTCATAAAAAATAATCATGGTTCACAACTTATTCTTTTTTAGTATTCTAAAATCTTAAAATGACAGCTCATTGAAACTACTCTATAGCAGGCATTTGCAATTTAAAATAAAAGTGTGCTTTTAGAAAGACTTAAGAACAGAGATGACAAGAAACTGCCAAGATTTTTTAATTCTTTAATTTAACACTACATTTGTACTTTAAGTAGTTGCCCTAGAGTTTGATACTTGTGATGCTAAAAGGGGGAATTTAAATAAATTAAAAAATTCTTAATGATTTCTTAAGAAGAAAAAAATTGTGAAAAGCATGTTTAATGTATTCTTAGCCGATTTGAAAAAAATTGCATCATTGGTTTCTCGTTGATTCAATCTTTTGTATGCACTAACAGGCTCCTTCAGAATTTTATTAAGCTTGTTAACACATTGCATTAGGAAATGCAAGTGCACTGTTACATGGTCATATAAAATCATTATGTTAACTAATTTAGGCAATTAAATATGATATCTCCCCTGATAGTTTTGTAAACATGAAAACCGTGTGGCTAATCTCTTACATAAACAGAAAAACGGGATGTGCATACAGCTCAATGCATATTTAATAAAAATGCAATAAAACTGCATTCATGTCTCAATGATCTCTGACAGACCAATGTCATTATACCAGCTCTTAATCACATTATAATTGTTACTGACAATGTACAAAGTATCATTTTTGTGTTTATTTAATTGAGCAAGAAGGGGGTTGAGCAGTTTATTTTTCTCAATTTCAAACCAGAAATTAATTTAGTTATGTCAGAAATACTTAATATGATTAATGACCATTCCATCTTTTCAATGACTAAGATTTCCTTCCTAAATAAACTTATACTCTTTTCACCCCAAAAAGAGTTCATTCAATAAACTGGTTATAAAAAAAAAAAAAAAAAGATGAAAGGATGACTAGTATATTCAGAGGGGTTTTGTGTGAATAAAAATAGATTATGTTTAAAGTCTTAAACCTTGCATGTAACATAAAAAATGTTTGTTTTAAAAAAAAATCATTTATTCTTACATAAAATATAAACTAAATAAAAAATTAATATGACGAAATAATGCACAAAAATAAAACTATGTAATATCACTAAAAATTTGAATTAATTTCAAACGCAAATGTGTGGTATTAAAAAATGTCTTTACTTCATTAAAAATAATAGCTTTAGTTCCATATCATTTTTTTGATGGAAAGTAAACTATTGAACACTTCTTAGCTAGCCATCACTCCGTTCCTATGTGATCTAGACATTTTTTTTAAATTTCAACACCTTTTACCATTTTCTATCTTTTAACTTTTAATTTCAATTTATATGTATTTTATGGTTTTGCTGTTTTGCTTTTTATATTTAGTGGTTGTATTCATATTATTATTTTTTTGTAAAATAATAAACTCCTTCGCGAATTTGTCCTGTAAATTGAGAACAAGGAGGTGTATGCAATTATGTTTTCTGCTGTGTGGGTGCAGGAATACATTTAGAAGACCATCCTTATTTTAAAAGTATTACTCAAAATGGAACTATAACTAATGTGGATTCATTTAATTTCGTGGATTATAATAGGATTAATTTAGAAAACTTTTTTGTGGATACATAATACCGTAATTTCATTGTTTGGCAAAATTTGTGTACAGAAATTTGTATAATTTTTTTTTTTAACTTTTGAATTTGTAGTTGATTTTTACTCATCAAGTACATGAAATTTATTACCCTGTGAAATATAATGAATAGAACTTGACCATTGAAGGAACATTTTGAAATACTGAAGCTTATAGTAATATGTAAAGGCAGTCAGTCATACAGTTCCTCCTACCAAGTTTTAACGCT